AGGCGCTCCAACATTACCCGGCTATGCTAGGCTGCCGATTTCGAGCACACAGCATTTAAGGAATTTCTTCCCCCCCCCCCCCCCCACCAAAAAAAAAGAATTGAGAAAAAAAAATGATTATACTTCAATATTCATTAAGTATTCAGTATTTTACACTGCATAAGGTTTGCAATGCATCAAAATGTCAGGTTGATGAGCAATTTTTGCTCGATCCATTAAACATATACATGCTGCATCATTAAACAAAATTTCCAGTGCGTCTTCACAAAAAGTAGTGAGATTTCAAGTCATTTGAAAATGACTTCATCTTCAGTTTTCCCTCTCATTTTGAAATGGCTGTAGCTATAGAGTACCGAAGCTGTGACGTCATAAAAATCTATTTTTAGAATTTCTCAATTTTTTCTTCATTTTCCGAAATAGCATAAAAAATAATGTCCAAATGTGGAAAACCAATTGAATATGGTATGTTACGTATATTGGCTAAGATATGACCATCTGAATGAATATATTTACAGTAGGAACTCAGTGTTATATGCTCTGGCTCCTATATAATGGTTAGGAGCCAGAGCATGTGTAACACCGAGTTCCTGTAGGAATATATTTATTCAGATGGTCATATCTCAGCCAATACTTAACATATTCAATTGGTTTTTCGACATTTGGACATTATTTTTGATGCTTTTTCGGGAAATGAAGAAAAAAATTGAGAAATTCTAAAAATAGAATTTTGATGACGTCACACTTCACCACTCTATTGGGCTCAAACCAACTCATGATTGACATAAAAATCGTCTTCTAAGTCTATCTATATTCTAATGTCCATGTCGTAAAAATCTGTATTAGAAAAGATATCATCTTTTTTGTTCATATTTTCTAGTTGTTAGAAGTGACATTTTTCGACATCTGACATGTTAATCGCTATCAACAGTTCTTTGACTGAAGTTAGATCCCATCTTGCCGATGAGAAGGATTTTAGTGACCAACCCCCCTCGCTCTCTAGTGTTGTAGTCGTTGGTCCTGTGTGCTCATCATATTCCTTTTGCTACAACAATTATTGGATTCATATCTGTCAAAATCTGCAACATTGTCAACAAATGGTGAAAGACCGTCACAGATCCTATAGGCATGTTGCGGAGTGTATAATTGTATTTCTGTAATAAATTCAATTCAATAGATATAAATTTTCATTTTGTAATTATTCCTTTTGTAAGTTTTATTTAGATCTAGCAATTTTCAGAAATTGACGACAAGCGCACAAATTGTAGGCGTAAAACACTTGTATGCCCATGCAGGTACGAGCCTCCCTTACCAAAGTTCTCCTCATGCTTCGGTTTCGCATATGCTGCGAGTGCGTGATTGCTGCAGTCGCGTCGTCCGTAGTCGTATTATACCCAATTGGGCCCGACTCATTGTTTCGTCAGTCTACACTCCGTTAATGCTATATCCAGCGGATATCTGGCTTTGCTCAATCCCCCTCTTATATATGTTATGTCTTGCAGGAGAGCGTCAACAGACAAAATAGAGGGATCTCGATTTATGTTTAAAAAACTCCTTCAAGCAGACAATTTTGTCAGTCATTATTACAACGCTTAAAGTGCAAAACCGAAAGTTTCCATCTCTGATATCAATGGATGTTCTGTCGAGACGTCTGGCTCCACTGACCACCTCTATACAGTCAGAGACTGAAGTGTGCTGTAGTGAGGGGTGGTAATGCATAATGGTAGGGAGGCCAATGCCCTGGCGTAAGGCTTCTAAGCATACGATTTGTGCGCTCGTCGTCCAAGTCAGAAAATTACCAGAAGAAAAAAAAAGGGGAAAAAAAAAAGAAAACAAATATCTATGAAATAAATACACAATTGTACACTCCACAACATACCTATAATCACGGATCTGTAACGGTCTTTCACCATTTGTTGACGATCTTGCAGATTTTGACGTATTTTAATCCAATAATTGTTTTAGCAGACGAACTTAACGCGCACACAATAGAAACTAGAGGGGTCCTAGAGGGCGCGGAGGTTAGCTCACTATTAATCCTTCTCAATGGTAGAAGGTAGACCCTAAAAATATGGAATCCAATTTAAATGAAAGAACTTTTGATAGAGATTAACATATCAGATGTGCACAAATGTCACTTTTAACAACTAGAAAATATAACAAAAAAATATTATATTTTTAATTGCAGATTTTTAAAAATTGCACATATTCGAAGGTAGATAGAGTACGATGTTTTTGTCAATCTTGCGTTGGTTTGAGCCCCATAGCTAGAGCCATCTCAAACTGAGAAGGAAAACTGTGAACAGAGATGTCATTGTTCCAGCCCCAAATAGAAGTCTTGCGACATCATAATATAAATATGTATGAGCTCCGGTCTCATCGCGCGCAAAACAAATTTGACGTAGTCTCACACATAGTACCTTATTCTCAGCACTAGACACCAGTGTCGTGCAGTAATGTATGAGAAATGTAAAAAAAAGACATTTCAGTAAAAAAAAAAGTCTACGTGAGCAGTCTATACTCCAATTGAGAAGTGTAATGAATGCCATGATTTGAACGTGTGTGTTTTAGTGTATGATATGGTTAGTGAGAGAGAGAGAGAGAGAGAGGGAGAAAAATATCTCTGTCAGTACACGTCTTTCAATGCGTGCAGTCCTATTGACTATGTTTGATTCCGTATTGTGTTCGCTGCAAGTTGGATTTATCGATTGTTGATAATGCAGTGTGCCAGTGTCAGATTGATCTTTACTCATGAGGAAATATAATAGTAATTGGAATACAAAACTAAGGTAGGCCTATATATTTATTTCAATCACTTTCCTAATTTACAATGAGTGGCTTTCGAGCTTTCTCTCTATTATGTTTTGACCCTCCATGCCATGGCTAGCATGGCTCGATCGTGGCTTGCATGCAATTACCGTACCTGGCCTGCAGTACTGCGTCGGTGTGTGCGACTAATTCAAGGCTAGCCGGTGATGATGAATGTACTTTCGCGCGAAGTTTTGAACTTGTTGTCCAGGCAATGACCATGATGACACGCCTATTCCCTCGGGCCTGTCTTATTCTCAACATAATTTTTGGGACCATGAAATTGATTGTTTCAGGGCTCTTACGTACGGCCAGGCGTAGAAGGAAAGGCATAGAAAAGAGCTGGATATCTCCTATTTTATGGAAATTCTGGAGTCGGCAGATGGGTGAGTTGTCTTAGTGAAAGAAAATGCTTTCTTTTAATCTTTGTTTTATTTTAAACAAATTCGTAATTAAAAAGTTAGATTTGGGCATTGGCCTCCCTACTAATACAATTCAATTCAATTCAATTCAGAACTTTATTTCAGACTCAACTACACAAGGCAGAGGTCCATAAAACATATGTTACATAGATATATAGGGAGTATAAACATGATGAGTATAATAGCAACAAATCTTACAAAGAGTATAACTAAACTATACTAGGCCTACGTACAAACAATCTAAACTCTAAGAGTAACAAGTAACCTGCAAGGTTGATAACAGCATAACAAACTAACTCTAAGCTGTACCTGTAACTGTAAGATTAAAATAACATGTATTACAATCAATAACAATCTATTGAAGTTGTATCTCGTAACAATCTGTCTCTGTTCAACTAACCAGAACGATAAACTAATAATAAATAACTATTATAAAAAACAAAGAAACAAGGATACTGGAATCCTTGGTAACAGGAACATAATGATCAATTGCCATGTGTCAGCAGGCTATTCAGCCAAAATCTCCAGAGGCCCGATGTGTACCTAAGACAACTATACGAGGGGTTCACTAACATCTTTAAAATACCATTTTCAGACACATCCACTCTCTGGATGAACTTATACATAAGATTTCGTAATACAGCCGAACAGGCTGGAACATTCAACTCAGCAAACATTTGACTAGCACTAAAGTATCAGAGACTGAAGTGTGCCGTATGAGGTACCAAGGTAATGCATATCAGTGGGTCGGTTCAGCCGGACCAAGATGAATAAGATGCTTATAGATCTAGATCTAATTGGTTTTCACTCGTTGCTTCTTCATGACCATCATAATTTCATATACATGTGTTGTACACTGCACTCTGGCTGCAATATCAGTTACTACTGGTATCACCTTTGTCCTTACTTCATTTTACTTGCAATTTTGAATTTGAAACAATACCACATAGACTACATGCTGAAAAATTCTCAATCTATCATTAATAAGTTAGTAATAAATGAGTCTAGCACTTGGCAGATGCCTGGCAAGAACAGACAAATTATCATCCAATCCCTGCTCTATTGGTACAAATTTACAATACCTATAGAACTGCAATAGCTATAGCCGCGCTGTAGGCTAGTTAGACCGAATTTTCCGTCTCTTTCGTTCGTTAGCCTCTTATTGGGGTAGGGTCGGCTCTCTCTTTAGAGACGGAAGCCGTTTATACACATGTCCTTGCTAACGCCACGGCCAGTTCTGGTCGTAGCGTTTTGCCCCCAAAATCCCCCAAAATGTCATTTTACCTCGAGCATGTTATATTGTAAATTAGGCCTAGGCTATAATAAATCAGTTCCACTTACCAACTTGACTGAAATAATCAGTTTAATAGTCCCTTTTTAGGAAATTATGGGTCAAAATCGAAATCCATTTTGAAAATCTTTTTCAACATGGATTCCGATTTTGACCCATAATTTCCTAAAAAGGGACTATTAAACTGATTATTTCAGTCAAGTTGGTAAGTGGAACTGATTTATTATAGCCTAGGCCTAATTTACAATATAACATGCTCGAGGTAAAATGACATTTTGGGGGATTTTTGGGGCAAAACGCTACGACCAGAACTGGCCGTGGCGTTAGCAAGGACATGTGTATAAACGGCTTCCGTCTCTAAGAGAGAGCCGACCCTACCCCAATAAGAGGCTAACGAACGAAAGAGACGGAAAATTCGGTCTATAGGCTAGTAGGCCTACTAGTATTAACTAGTAGGCTACAGTACTGTAAGTTAAACTTACCCGCTGGGCAGTTTGCCGGAGTGGGTCTGAAGTCTGAGTGATTCGACTTTACTAGAAAGTGTAAGAGTAGACGTAGACCTATACGCGAGTTTCCAAAACGTCATGGGATAAATCCTTTAATAGTCTATATTTAAATGAGATGTTCTTTCCATACGAACCAGAATTGCAGAATTAACCGATCGAAATAGAAGTCAGTGAGTGTAACTGCTAGCTGCGAGCTTTTGAGAAGCTGGAATGCGAATCCAGCACTTGATTGGGCGCGGTGCGTTGTTTGCGTTCGGTCAAAGGGCATTGCAGATACGGGAAATCCCCTGTTCAGTACCGTACCCGTTACGCTACGGTATTCAGCGTAGATAGGGTTCCATGTCAGGTCGCCCAATGTCAGCCCGCCCCCTTACAAAGTCGCCCTCAATTGGTCATGTCGCCTCCCGATTTTTTGTGCCGAATTTGGGATTCTTGGTCAGCTCGCCCCCACTTTTTTGGTCATCTCGCCCCCTAATTTGTTGTTTTAATTTGATGTATTTTACAAGTTCAAAGTCAAGCCATTTTTAGTTCCTTGCATCTCAGTACTATGTTATTACTTTGTTATCACTAAATATTGAAAATTTTCCTCGTAACTGCATATTTTCGAGGATATTTGCATCTAAGTTTCCACCGGCTTACGTAGTACTAGTCATCGCTCGTTCTGACTCGACTGGCTTAGTTCTAGTGACGGAGCTTACGGATGAATGCTTGAATTCAGGTAAAATAAACTTGAATACAACCATATTTTCTGTATGTGTAATGAAAGAAAGTGTTCTCACAGTGAAAAGTTGGTAAAAGTTAAATTTTCAAACAGCTACATTTCAACTCTAGACTATTGAATTATTCATTCGGAAGTTAGCGCTGCTGCGGCCTGCGCCTGCATGTACTGGCCGTACAACCGCGCACTCGCACCGGCGTTATTTTTGTAAACAACACACCCCAAATCCAACACAGACAGACACACAAAAAACATGAGCGAAGCTACTTAGAGTCTATTGCATCTGGCCCATTCTGGGATTAATGTAGGCCTATAAATTTGTTTTTATGTATGTGTTTTGACAGTATTTGATAGGTAATGTACCGGTATGGCAATAAAATTCATTGAAATGTAAGAAATTCTTTTATGGTAAGATTGGGTTATCAACTTATCATAGATTGTTTGTAATTAACAACAAACGCTAACACCACAACGCTGTTAACAGTAACACAGACAAACAACAACATGAGCAAAGGTTTTTTGCAATACAGCTTCTTATATGCATCTGGGATTAATACATTTAATTTATGCATACATTTGTGTGTTTATGTATGTGTTTTGACAGTATTTGATAGCAGGGGCGGCGCGCCACGCCACGCAGCCGCAGGGGGTGTCTGAGGGCATAAATGGCTCGCTTTGCCTTTGGTGCATACTTTTTGCAAAATTAAAAAGAAAACAGTCTTAAGTTCAGCTAACAGGACAAGAACGCAGGGGTGTTTGAGGGGGATGTGCCCCACTCGGTTTATAGATTTTTTTTTAAATTGATGCATAAATTGCTTGATTTGGTGCATAATTTTTGCAAAATCAAAAAGTAAACAGTCTTAAGTTCAACTAACAGGAACAAAAACGCAGGGGGTGTCCGTCAAGCAAAGAAGGACATGAATGAACATTTAATTAAAAATTGAAAATTAGATACAGTCCTGCCCTGAAAATGAATAAATGGCACCATCCGAAAAAGGAATACTTTTGGTTTGAGACTGAAGTAATCATGAGTAGTATACCTTTTGGGGATCAATGTCCACATATTTAGCTTAGTTTCTCTCATTATCTGTACTCTGTGTCTGTAATATCCAAAGGCAGCACTTTAGGACCCTTGGTCCCTCACCCTATACAAAAATTCTTGTAAACAATTGTTCTTGATACCAGCAAATGTTGCCCAACTCCACTTCATATTTTAAAGAATTTTCCAAGCAAGCACCATACTAGATAATGTACATGTCTCACTACCTACACTTCAGTGGTAATGAAATTATGATGATGTTTTTGCTTTCACTTAGTTGCAGATGCAGTACATACAATTTGCACTTATATGAAGGAAGCACTGGGAAAGTACATCTACTTTTCAAGAATGCCACAGGCCAGAAACAAATCCAGGTGAGAATAGTTTCATGATCTGTTCAGGAAAATCACACTTCAGCAGCAAAGTACTAAGCACACTCACTGCGTATGTGCATTGGGGTGGTTGTTGTCTGGTAGGGGCAATTGGAAAATTCTATTTTGGGGTAATAGGGGCAATTGAAAACTTCTGTTTGGGGTCAGTTATGCCTAGTAATTAATTTGATGTACAAAAGATAATATTGGATTCATTTCCTTACCTCTGCTTGCAAAAAAATGAAAGAAAATAACTTGTAATTATTTCTTTCATTCTACAAAATTAGATTGGATACAGGGACCGACATGCTGGGAAGATGGGTCCTTGATAATTCACTGAACACAGAGCTGCAGATGTGACTTGGCATAGTGACCTAAGAGTGGGAGCGGTATGGAACCGTTGAAGCAATTCACCGAACACTGTTGAAGCAATTCACTGAACACAGTCAGAGCTGCATGTGTGACTTGGCATCAGGCGCGTACGCAGGGGGGGGGTTTGGGGGGTTAAACCCCCCCCTTTGGAATTTTTTGTGTGTAAACCCCCCTAAAAAAAACCTAAAACCCCCCCCCCCCCTTTTGGATTTTTTTTTTTTTTTTTTTTTTTTTTTTTTTAATTATCAAAAAAAAAAAAAAAAAAAAAAAAAAATTCCCATGGCCGACCTAAAAAAGGTGACCTTACCCCCCCCCCCCCAACGGAGCAAAATGTCAAATTTCCAAATTTCGAGACCAAAAAAAAAAAAAAATGTGTCCTCTTACCCCCCCCCCCCCCCCCCCCCCCGCTTATTCAGCGGCTGGCTGAGTCGTTGCGAAATTTTCGGACCGATTTATAAATGTTAAAACCCCCCCCTTGAAAAAATCCTGCGTACGCGCCTGCTTGGCATGGTGACCCTTAAAGTCTCCTGACGGCTCCGATTGCGATTCTGATGATGAACCATTGTCTATGCTTCTGAGCGAGTCAAAAGGTATCTTCTTTCCTTCTTGATTGTCTCCCAATAGTTAAAATTTAAGATATTCTTAATTGTTTTTTAGTTAAGGGAATGAGTGGCCCTATCGAGGTCAGCACCTAAGTTGTTTTTTTAAAGACCAGTATTGGAAACGCCCCAATTTCAAAAATGAAATGGAAGCTCTCATTACCAATCATGTCAAAGAATATGTTTTGACTAATACATGATGATAAAAAATTTGCCGGGAAACCGCCTACTAATTCATATATTTGGTAAATTTGTTTCTCTCATGGTCTGGTGAGAGATATATGGTAGTCCCATATACATCTTTCTGTGTATAGTGCTTGTAACTTTACGAAGAATGGGCCAAATTTCTTATCATTTTGATGATTCCAGAACCTTGCAGATGCTAGATGCTAGATGATCAACCTTTTCTGATCGATTCCACAACGTTTCTTTCACAATGCAATCGCATGACCATTACTGGTCTTTACCTTTAACAACAAATGCCAATACTAAGGTGATACCACATAAAGTATTTAATTTATTAAGAGACTCTCTAAAAGTGGGTACCAAAACTACACACAATAATTTCGCCCAATCATAATGCACTGTAAAGTTTCCCTTTCATAATTGAAATTCTGATAATGGTTTTCTATTGATTTTGACTTGGACTTTTTTAATTATATTTCTTTCTCTTATTTCCTTTTGCTTTCAAGCAGTCTAGATCAAGAATCTTCGCTGCTTCAACCACTATCGCTTGGATGACATACGTGTGAAGAAACTTGAAGAACTTGTGTTGAAGAGCATGCTTGAGAAACTAGAATCAATTACATTGATCGTTTTGGCAATGCTTCAATGTTTCAATACCTCAATCTCTCTTTTATACTGTTTGATTTTAGACATTTTGAATATCATAAATAAAGCAAACTCCACTCATAATTGTAATTGTGTGTAGTAATTGCAATGAAATAGATCCATTTAAAATCAATGAATTGATTTAAAGCTAACTGGTAACATTTTCCATGATTTCTGAAACAATGAACTGAATGGTCATACAGGTGTTTGGTAAACTTTGTAGCGTTTGAGACTGTGTACTAAATTTTATTGAAATATCCTAGAAAGAGATTGTGTAAACTGACTTGTTTCTGATACTCTACTAACAAGATATTTATGAAAAACAGAGATGAACAAAAAAGTAACGATGATGATTATATTAGTCATTTTTCCTATTGAAAAACTTCATGATACATGTAGTACATGTATGTCAAGCATTTTGTATGTCACATGTGGCATTTCCTCCCTACGATTGCTGAACAAACATGATAACCAGGACATGTATAACGAATTTGATAAAGACATTTTAGCATATTTACAAGTACTGTATAATGAATGAAATAACCTTCGTATTCCTTGGATGTATACCTGATGAGTCTTTTCGAAAAACCCTAGATGTACATTTCAAAATGCAATACAGTATTGATGATAATTGATGATGATATGTTTGGTATGAATTATTTAATATTTTGAATTTATGCTCTATTTGCCACTTGCTGTTCTGGTTCCAAATGTTTGAATTAAAACTGCTCAGTCGAAATTCATTGTCCGTGTTTATATTGCAGAGTTGAGTAGTTAACTACAGATTATGGTCAATGATCAATACTGAATCTTTTTCCTTCATTCAAAAATATTTCTTAACATATTTGCTTTATTTCCTATGTGAAAAAATATATTTAGCTAGGCCCCTCTCTAAAAAATTTAAAATTCCTCATAGTAATAGAGTAGCAAAAGCCCTAATATCACCCGCATGAATTTCAACAAGAAATGGCAGAATTTGTGTGATATTAAGGGGAGATGGAGTGGGTAAACTGAGAGAGAGAGAGAGGGGGGGGGGGGGGGGGAGACTACTTGAACGTGTTCTTGAGTGGAAAGTATATAGTAACTTGAGTGCAATCGTTAGTCCCTACTACATACAATGTACCTGATAATTACACCTCAAAGAATATTAAATACATAATATCCATTTTTAGCTTAAGATTAAAGAGAATATAGTTTATTAATCATTTTAAAAGCACTTGGTAGAAACAAAGTTGATTGTGCTTTCCAATATGTGCTATTGATTTATTGTGAACCATAGCTTCGTGAACAAAACTGACATCATACATCTAACATCATAATTATACAAAGAAGAAAAGGTGCTCTTATTTTATCCATACATCTATTAAACAAGTAATTTTGCCGTATTTCAGTCTCTATCTCATGAAATTGCTTCACACAATAAAAATCCCATATGTTTTATACGCGCTCGGCTACGAGCCGTCACTTCGTGAAAACAAAAAGTCTAAAAATAGAAATAGAAGAGAATGTCTCTACATTGAATTAAAAGTGAGCTATAATTGATATGGCTAATATAAGTTTATTATGAAGCAAATAAATCGAAATAAAAGCTTTCGGTGGTAGACTCAAATGAACGAAACGTTATCTAATTTTACTCTCAATTCATTCTATAAGTGCGTGATTTTGTTTAAGGAATAAGGGACGACCATGCGTGACCAATATGAACACCTGCTCATCTTTTAGTATTCGAAAGCACTATAATTAGGTTCCATCCTTAACCTGTCTAATAATGTTTGTTTGTTTTTTGTATAGATGTCACTTTTATTTTAATCTGTGCACATAATAGAGCATTTATTCTTTCAAACGCATACCTTATATTGTATGTCGCGGCGCTTTTGTCCTTCATAAAAGCGCGGAGGATAAAAGCGCCGAAACAATAATATCGAAACATTGAGAGGCTTTACCGCTTTCAATGAGATCAACCCTCATTATACGTCAAAAGCGTCACTGCAGGGGCGTTGCTAAAGGATATTGTCGGTAAAATTGCCCTGCTGTCGGGAAAAATGAGCCTAAAAAGGGGGAGGGGGAAATGAGAGGGAAAGGGAAGGAAAAGAACGAAATAGAGAACGAGCGGCTGATAATGTCGAAATGAGAAGAATATTACTGTACAATACTTATAAAAAGTAAAACTTTTTAATGTAAATCTTACGGTTGCATTAAAATAAAATGAAACGTTTATTACATTATACTTAAGCACAAAATAGTTATCTAGAAGAAGGTGGACAACATAAGAAGAGAAAGAATGAAACTTTCTCTTTTATTTACAAACATATAAATAGCATAAAGAATATATTACTGTAATATTATAAACAGTAAAACTTTTGAATGTAAATCTCTGTTGCATCAAACTGATATCTAAACAAAAAATGTTTATTATGCTATATTGACGGTATACGTCGGACATTATATAAACAAACAAAAAAGAGACAAACTAAAGAAAAAATCTGAGCTGGGGGGGGGGTGGGAGTCGGTGAGAAAAATATCATAATAATAAATACAGTACAGACTGCGTCCAATTTTCTACCTCCCCGCCACCCGCCCTCCCCTTCTCTCTCCCTCTCTCTGTCTATGTCCATCTTCATCTTTGTCCATCTTCATCTTTCATAAATGTTATCTATTCCGCCATTTGCTTGTATGACGGGCATATCATCCCTTCCTTGAGATTAATTATTATAACATATTCCTGATGTTATACGTCGGACATTATACTCTAGCGAAAAGATATGATCAAACCAACAGAGACTAACTAAAGAACAAGATCAGAGGTGGGGGGGGGGGGGGGGGGTGATCGGAGAGACAAATATAAAACATAAATACAGTATACAGGCTACGTCCAACTCTCTATCCCCCCCCCCCCCCCTCTCACATAATTATACCTTATATTTAGTTTAGGGAACGAAACAGAGAACAAGCGGCTGATAATGTCGAAATGAGAAGAATATTACTGTATACAATACTAAAAAATAAAACTTTTGAATGTAAATCTCTGTTGCATCAAAATAAAATGAAACGTTTATTACATTATACTTCAGCAAAAAAGAGTTATTTTGAAGAAGGTGGACAACAATATAACAGAAAGAATGAAACTTTCTCTTTTATTTACAAACATATAAATAGCATAAATAACCTGATTCTGACCGCTGCACTATATAGCGTACTGCCTTTGTACGTAGGGGGCGACTGTGTATAGGGGGCGACTGTGTATAGGAGGCGACTGTGTATAGGAGGCGACTCGACCACACAATTTGGGGGCGACTACGTTAGGAGGCGACTGCGTATAGGAGGCGACTGTGTATAGGAGGCGACCGAGTGGGGGGCGACCTGACCAGACACCGTAGATAGAAGGGGCGTCCGAGCGACACTTAGTAAACATAAATAGCCTTCTCTTTTGCCTTCAGATCGAACGAAACTATTCATCAATCATCAAATAGCACTAACCACCAGCGTAAATATTTGTACTTTATAATATTGTCCAAATCATTTAATAAATGATTGATTGTGGGGTCACTCAATGTGACTTCCGGACCGCATGACCGTTACCAAAATCGCGGAAAAAGGGGTCAATTTCAAGCAATGTCCGCGGACAAAATATTCCTCGAAATAAAGAAAATAGGGGTGCACAGGTGTCCCCGGAATTGATAAATAGGGGTGCACAGGTGTCCCCGAAATTGATAAATAGGGGTCAGGAAAAGGGAAAAGAGAAAACCGGGAAGATAAATTCTCGGAGCCGAGTCTTGTCCTTTAAATATGGTAAAATAGGGTAAATTTGCGAAAGTGTCCTTACAATCTTATAAATAGGGGTATTCCAAAGTAGGATTTTGTCCTTGTTTTGACGTAAAAAAGGGGTTAAATTTCACAAAATGTCCTTGAAATTGACCGCAAAAGGGGGTTACATGCATTGGTGGTAACGGTCATACGTGTCACTCTTTGCAGGGGAGTGACCCCACCGGGAAATATTGCTTTAAAAATTCTTCAAATTTGACGGTGTTTAAAATCAACTGTCTGGATACACACAACCTGTCCAGACAAATTCTGTCTGGGTATACGTAATTATATTAAAACATATAAAAGGCATCGAAAGGAAAAAGGTGCTATGGTACAGTATTTCAATGTATGAATGTTTCTCTCACGAACCCTTTGTAATATCCCTGCAAAATGATATTTCTATATGGATGGAATGCACTTTCATTAGGTGTTCGGACATGCATGTTCCTATAAGTACAGTGCGTCCCAGAAAAAACGAAACCGAGAATTATCAATGTTTTATCATAACTTAATCACAATTATAATTAATAAATGACACATATTTGGAAAGCTTAGATCCTCCCAGGATCCTCTTCTTTCATTTGATGCAACTCATATGATGCATTTTTTCACGCATGAGTGATTAAAAGCAATTTGAAGAGAGGAAACCAAAAAGTCATTTGGCGGGTGGTATTCTAATTTCCGAAGGTGAAAAATCACATTTCTAGAAATTTCAATTTTTGCCCTTTCATATGACACCTCAATCAGGAAAAATGAGCCAGGAATAACAAAGTTCTGTTTGTTTAAAGTAATGCTTTCATTTCCATAATATTATCAAACGAGTTCATTTTCACTTCGTTGAAAATCAGCCATGCATCAGGTCTTTCGTCTTTTTTGTGAATGGCTGATCATCAACGAAACGGATTTAAATCAACAACTAATGTGTGCAAATTGAATTTTGACTATAGTGAGCATAGAGATATAAGTATATATCTCTATGATATAGTGAGATACATTTATACGTTACAGGCAGGCGCGTACGCAGGGGGGGGGGGGGGGGTAACCCACCCCCTCAATTTTTGATTAAGTGTGTGTTTTAAAATATTTTAAAAACATTTTTTTTAATCCTGCGTGCGCTACTGGTAACAGGGGATGAGATCATTAGTATCGAAGAGCTACACCATATGCATAAATTTGGTTACAATCCGAAAATAGCATATTGTTTTTTGTTGGATTTCACATCAAATTTTACGTCAGTGATCAGTTTGATGGTGTATTGATCTACTTCTAGCATGTAAAAAAAAGTAACTGAATCGAACATATTTTTTACTTGATATTCTTCTTAGGGGAGGCGATGAAGCGGGGTCTGCATGTCTATAACCAAATTATATATTTCAACCCAAACCTAGACCGAATACCTATACCTAGGATTAGAAGCCCTAAAATAATACCGGAAAATAATTTGTGTTATCGAAGTACTGAAAAGTTTCAGAACAGGCCGACGGCGCACAGTGGGCCAGGGAGGAACCAAAGTGCGCCAAAACTCATGTTTGGGGATTTCTTTTTTATAAATCCAGAGAAAATGTTTGGATTTCCAGGGATTTTCGCTTAAATTGTATTACCAACATTTTCTCTGATGTCTAAGCTTTAAGTTGATACCAGATTTGGCTGCCCGATTCTGCCCATTATTATGTTAGAGCTGCTTTCCTTGCAACATTGCCCCGAAAAATGTGTTTAGTTTGGTCCGCGGTGTCAGAACAAGTGTCACGCGCCCCCTCGCTCCGCGGACCCCCAAAATCCACATTTTCGGGGCAATGTGGCAAGGGAAATCGGCTCTAACATAACAACGGGCAAGATCGGGCAGCCAAATTTGGTATCAACTTGAAGCTTAGACATCAGAGGAAAGGGTGGTATTAAAATGTAAGCGGTACACCGCGGAGATCTAAACATTTCTTCTGGATTTATAAAAAACATGGATAATTAGCCCATTTTTCAGTGAATTACCCTATAATATATCATGAAGATTGTGTTTCTATTAATTTTAACCCATTCATTCAACGAAATGAACTATCAGGAATATGTGAGAGCAATTTCATATCAATAACTTAAAAACTTCATGTTGAATTGAAAGATTTATAAAATAAGTCACTTTTGCACTAAAACTGTGAATATGTAGGATTTTGCTGTTTGAAGTAGTAAATTTATACCCTTATTGTGCATACCGGAATTAAATATTTCACTGAGGTATTCCTCTATGTATTACCTTTCAACTGGGCAAGAACAAAATTGAAAAAAATAAATCACCCAAACTTAGTTTTGGCGCACTTTGGTCCCTCCCTGGCCCACTGTGCGGCGGTGTTACGATACATTATAATCCCTTTGTAAAAACACGGGAGGGGGTCGTCGTGTGAGTGCGTCTGTATAGGAGTGGGAGGGGGTGTAATGGTTTATTGGTGATCCGGTTGGCACTTGAAATAGCCAAGGGGCATTATTTTTTAAAGTTAATCATCTCTCTCTCTCTCTATCTCTCTCTCTCTCTCTCTCTCTCTCTCTCTCTTTCTCTCCCTCTCGATCACGATCCTCTCTTTTTCATTACAACCCTGGCTGTCTCAGTGAGGAAAAGTGTAATATGTTTACCACATTTCCACTCCAGGCGAGTCACGTCAATAATCACTCGATAAAAATAAAATAAATTATACTGCTTTTATTAATATATTGCATAACTTAACTTGAGAATCCAAAACTCTGCTGCCAGGCTTGTAACACGCAGACGTTCTTGTGAACACATCACTCCAGTACTTCGCAAATTGCATTGGTCGCCGGTGACGTACCGCATTATGTACAAATTAAATCTTGGTTTTAACTTATAAATGCATTCATGGTTATTGGCTCCATTTTGTCTGCAATTCCATAACAAAGAGGGTGGATCAGATTCATCTAATTAATAACATTGATTAATTACCTGTGTGACACTTTGTTTACATTTATTATAGACATTTTCATATAAATGTGAAACTTGTTCCACTAATTGAAAACCTTCACTGATAAACACAAAATAAAATCCTAAAACTACTATCTCTATCTAAATAAGTATCATGAATATAGAGTCTACAACCCCTCCTCCCCCCCCCCCCTCCCCCAAGGAAAAAAAGAAGAATAGAAATAAAATGAAAATGTGGTGCTATATAGCCCTGCTAAAAAATGAGGTTTACATCCCAAAGCACAGTACAGTTCTATTTGTGGTGTATAAGCCCATTGTCAAGAGGTTGTCTGTTAAACTGCCCCCCCCCCCAGAATATTAAAGCGATCTATAGCCCATAGGTAGTTTTTACACTTTTTATAACCTAAGTTCTTAGTAAATCACAGTTTTGTGTTTCATTGCTCCATACATCCAATTTCAAGAGCCTTTATACTTCAAAATCATAAAGAAAATTGCAAGTCATCAATAAAGGTCTGATGATACATATTTGGTCATAAAATTAAAAAATTCTTTCAGATTTTGAGTCCATAACGACATTATTTAGTACAAGAAAATGCATCATCATCATCGGGGGTGTATACCGTTTGAAATGTATTCGATAGCACTGTTTTGTTGTGTTTGTTGTTGCATCGTGATAGTGTGGGTATAATATCAAAACTTATTCATATTGATTGATTGATTTTTATTCGACAAGCTTCCAACATACAACAATATACAATAATAACAGATCAAAAAAAGTCAGCTTGAACAGGATAACCCACGAAAGCTCGAGAGCTTATTTCCAGTGGGGTCCCTTACAGACATGTATAAAATTAATAAGTTAAAATAGTAATATTTACAGACAGATAAGAAAATTAAAAGAACTACTTGTTAAAGATAATTATAATAACAACATTAAACTGATGATAGAAATGATATTAAGTACAAGAAGAAAAAGAAGAAGGAGAAGAAGAAAAAGAGGAGAAGGAAGAAGAGGAAAATAATGATGAATTTGTAGAATTTCTATAACGTACGAAACAAGTATATACAACATGAAAAAGTATGAACCGACAGTAGTATACCGACAGTAGTATACTTCTTCTAGGGGACACGTGCCTCCCCCCCCCCCCGCTGTGATTTTTTTGGGGGCCAAAAAATATATATAAATATCCTCTTACCCAGGCACGTAGCCAGGGTTGAACTATTTTAGACCCCTTTTTTTTAACTCGATGGATAACATGTTTGTGCCCCCCCCCCCCAAACATAAAACTCTGCCAACGTGCCTTCTCTTACCCCCGCCCCCCCCCCCCCCCCCTCCCCCGCTTATTCAGCGGCCGGCTGAGTCGTTGCGAATTTTTCGGCCCGATTTAAAAATGTTAACCCCCCCCCCCCCTTGAAGAAATCCTGCAAACGCTACTGATTTCACCCCATGCCATGTTGTGCTCCCCCCCCCCCCCCCCCGGTAAGAAATACCTGGATCCGCCACTGACAGTTGTGAGATCATCTGAAATCTTGCATTCACCATTCACATTGTCGACAAACGCAGTTTAGTCGTGCATCCAGTCAGCCCTATCAATTTATTGTTCAAGTTTAGGTCAATAACATTATTCCAAAGTTGCATACGGGCTTAGAATATTTATTAAACAGTTTGTTGTAAGTTGCCAATATATTTCCAGTGAGCCATTTTTCGTGTGCCTTTCTGAAAGAAAAAAATTAAAAAATGACGCATACAACTTAGGCTAGTAGTAGGAAGCTGCATGGTAGTAGCAGAAGAAATGTCGAAGCTGTCCTAAAGAAATAGATCTAGAATCTAGATGACAAAACTCTGTAGACTATAGATTTCGAGGATAGAAAATGTCCTGCTAGCAATGTTTAGCATCATGCTCCTGGCCCTGCAAGTGTTATTGAGTTGACGAACTGAAACCAAGACATTAGATTATTAAGGAATAATAGCGTATTCAACTGTGTCTTTGAGATATTTTGCAGGCGCCCGCGGTAACCTAGCCGCCTGGACGCCAGCAGAGAAGCGCACTACGACTAGTGACTGGTATGGTTGGAGATGATCGACATCGTGATCGTGCAGCGTATCGTCTGTAAAGTGTAAATATAGTGAATTTGGCGCTAGTGTAGCAAGGTATCCAAAATATAGCCTACTAAATGAGTAAAACAGACCTCAAATTTTAGACCCCAAATTTCGTGTTTATCATTATCTCTAGGGTTAGGGTTAGGGTTAGGGTTAGGGTTAGGGTTAGGGTTAGGGTTAGGGTTAGGGTTCTAGGGTTAGGGTTAGGGTTAGGGTTAGGGTTAGGGTTAGGGTTAGGGTAATGATGACCACAAAATTTGGGGTCTGTTTTAGTAGGCTATATTTTGGATACCTTGCTACACTAGCGCCGTGAATTTGATTGTATGAATAGATAATTAAATAATAAATATTAAATAATGAAGGCGCTTGTCCAGAAACATATTCAAAATTTGACCTGTAAATCTATAGACTATGTAGATTACTGTAGGCCTAACTCAACTGAGTACTCCGGTGTGGAGATACCCCACTAAAACATACCCAAAATGAAGTAAACATTCATCAAATGTGTGAATAAAGATCATGAGATAAAATTTGTTATGTTTATTACCTGTTACGTGTCAATTTTCTTGTTATCTTTGGAGTATATTATCAGAAAAAACGTTAATATTACACTTTTTCACAGGTTTCACTGCAAACCGCTGCACAATACAAGTCCATACGGATGGTGGGTTGCGGGGGGGCGCGCGCCTGTGTGAAGTTATTTTCCGTAATGAGGATCTGAGACATTATGGTATTGGTAGATAACTTCACACAGGCGTGGAGATACCCTTCTAAAACATACCAGTACCCAAAATGAAGTAAATATTCATCAAATGTCCAAATAAACTTAATAAAGGTCATGATTTAAAAGTCAATATGTTTGTTACCTGTTTTGTGTCAATTTTCTTATCTTTTTCGGAGTAGTTTTCATAAAAGTAAGAACAAATACTTATAATATGCACTTTCTCACAGGATTCACAGGAAACCGCAGCACAATACAATTACATACTGTCCCGACGGTTGGGTGCGGGCGCGCCAAGTGTTAAAGGTAAAGACCAGTTATGGTCATGCGATTGCATTGTGAAAGAAACGTTGTGGAATCGATCAGAAAAGGTTGATCATCTAGCATCTGCAAGGTTCTGGAATCATCAAAATGATAAGAAATTTGGCCTTTTCTTTGTAAAGTTACAAGCACTATACACAGAAAGATGTATATGGGACTACCCTATATCTCTCACAGACCATGAGAGAAACAAATTTACCAAATATATGAATTAGTAGGCGGTTTCCCGGCAAATTTGTTATCATCATGTATTAGTCAAAACATATTCTTTCACATGATTGGTAATGAGAGCTTCCATTTCATTTTTTGAAATTGGGGCGTTTCCAATTTATGATCGCTAACTCAGTAACTGAACGCGCCCGCCCACACCGCACTGTCGGTACGGTATGCAATTGTATTGTGCTGCAGTTTGCCGTGAACCCTGTGAGAAAGTGCATATTATAAGTCTTTGTTTTTAGGAAAAATACTCTAAAAAAAGATAAGAAAATTGACACGAAACAGGTAACAAACTGACAAACTTAACGACTTTTAAATCATGACCTTTTTTTTGGACATTTGATGAATATTTACTTAATTTTTGGTATAGTAGGGTATCTCCACGCCGGAGTTATGGGTCAAAGTTTGGATAGACGGCAAGCCATCAGTTGCCACAAAGTGTCGATCGTAAACTGTTGAGTTTTGGTGTTTGCCACAAGGTGACTGCATCTGTAATGGAGTATATAGACTTAAGTTTTTGGACGGCATGCAACTGTCATTTTTATATTCTATGGATTGATTATTCGAGGAAGAGAAGTCTTGTTGCTTCTACTATTTTTCTTTTATATAGTTCACTTGTAAACAGCGTCTGGCATATAGACGGACTGAAACCAGAGAAGCAAATATGCAAGTTTGTCCAAAGTGTACCCGTTTTCTTGCGAGAGAGCAAAGGAGAAGAATTTTCAGCCTGGATGCCCAGCGTACCCTGTGGATGCGGGAAGTGAGGCTTTCTGGGTCTGGTGGTCAAGATGTCTTGAAGAAGGAGGCTAATAATCCACTGTTTGCAGCCAATAAATATGTCCAGCATCCCATCTTCGAGGTACTTTTTAATGTGGCAGATGCCTATATCCTTTATGATTTCTGAAGAAGTCTTTTCTCTCATAAGACTGGTACTCAATTTTTTACAATCACCATAGGTTATTGCGAGTATAATTTACTTTTTAAAGTTCTTTTTGTCCCTTCCCATTTCCTATTTATTAAAATTCTCTTAATGTGTATATTTCAAATTTCAATTTGAACTATTAATTGTATGAAATCCATCAATAAGTTAATTTTTACTCAGAATATATTCAAAGTGGGCTGAGGAAATGTTTTTAGCAACAGTGTAGAAAAACGATATCATATGATTACTGATCTGTCCTTTAATGTTTTCTGGTTGTTCTTACGTCCTGTTCTCGTGATCGCGTTATCTCAAGAACCAATTGATTGATTACCGTCAAACTTGGATCATGCGTGTATATTGCAGAGCTAATAAAGTGATTAGATTTTGGGGTCACAAGGTCAAAGGTCACAGGGCTCATTATATATGCAAAATTAGCTCGTGATCGCGTTATCTCAAGAACCGGATGATGGATTACCGCCAAACTCAGGTCATGTCAGTGAAAAAAATACACGGAGGTGCGGTGCGAATTAGCCCCCAAAATGCTAAAAAGAGCCCCCCAAAATGTGCATAGAGTTCAATGCAAAACAAATTAAAGAGTGTTATTTTCATGCAAGCAAGCTTGAACAGTAGCCCCCCCCCCCCAAAAAAAAAAAAAAAAAATGAAAAAAATGTAAGTATTTTTTTCCCTGATTTTCAGGACAAAGACATGATATTTAGACCGACGGAGACCGAGGTTCAAGAGGCAGGCATGCTCTTTGAAAATGGCAGGACGCACAAAGTACAGTTTGCAAAGGCAGCTTACTACCCAGAACAAGCCCCAGACTACAATCTTCCAGAGGTGATTTAAAGTCTTGATCAATGTTAAAATGTTACCATATTGTTACTATACAGTAGGTTTGTGGGTGTACCATGTGACAGATAGCAGGGCTCGAATTACCCACCGGCAATCGGCAATTTGCCGCCATGCCCCTCTCACTGGCCGGAATGCCCTTTTCAAAATCAAACCGTTTACGGCCACAATATTTTAATCCACAAAAGTTTTGCCGACATTATAGTCATCGTAAGCCAACCCGACTTGTAATGTTCAAGGTTTTGTTGCCCATACGGAGCTCTAAAAACAATGATAGTCGGCAAGGTTTTGTTGCCCCTCCGGAGCTCTAAAAACAATGATAGTCGGCAAGGTTTTGTTGCCCCTCCGGAGCTCTAAAAACAATAATTACCGGAAGGTTTTGTAGCCCCTCCGGAGCTCTAAAATCAATGATAGTCGGCGAGGTTTTGTTGCCCCTCCGGAGCTCTAAAAACAATAATAGTCGGCAAGGTTTTGTTGCCCCTCCGGAGCTCTAAAAACAATGATAGTCGGCAAGGTTTTGTTGCCCCTCCGAGGCTCTAAAAACAATAATTATCGGAAGGTTTTGTAGCCCCTCCGGAGCTCTAAAATCAATGATAGTCGGCGAGGTTTTGTTGCCCCTCCGGAGCTCTAAAAACAATAATAGTCGGCAAGGTTTTGTTGCCCCTCCGGAGCTCTAAAAACAATGATAGTCGGCAAGGTTTTGTTGCCCCTCCGAGGCTCTAAAAACAATAATTATCGGAAGGTTTTGTTGCCCCTCCGGAGCTCTAAAAACAATAACTACCGGAAGGTTTTGTTGCCCCACCGGAGCTCTAAAAACAATGATAGTCGGCAAGGTTTTGTTGCCCCTCCGAGGCTCTAAAAACAATAATTATAGGAAGGTTTTGTTGCCCCTCCGGAGCTCTAAAAACAATAATTACCGGAAGGTTTTGTTGCCCCTCCGGAGCTCTAAAAACAATGATAAGTCGGCAAGGTTTTGTTGCCCCTCCGAGGCTCTAAAAACAATAATTATCGGAAGGTTTTGTTGCCCCTCCGGAGCTCTAAAAACAATAATTACCGGAAGGTTTTGTTGCCCCTCCGGAGCTCTAAAAACAATGATAGTCGGCAAGGTTTTGTTGCCCCTCCGATGCTCTAAAAACAATAATTATCGGAAGGTTTTGTTGCCCCTCCGGAGCTCTAAAAACAATAATTACCGGAAGGTTTTGTTGCCCCTCCGGAGCTCTAAAAACAATGATAAGTCGGCAAGGTTTTGTTGCCCCTCCGAGGCTCTAAAAACAATATTTATCGGCAAGGTTTTGTTGCCCCTCCGGAGATCTAAAAACAATAATTACCGGAAGGTTTTGTTGCCCCTACGGAGCTCTAAAAACAATAATAATCGGCAAGGTTTTGTTGCCCCTCCGGAGCTCTAAAAACAATAATAGTCGGCAAGGTTTTGTTGCCCCTCCGGAGCTCTAAAAACAATGATAAGTCGGCAAGGTTTGTTGCCCCTCCGGAGCTCTAAAAACAATAATTACCGGAAGGTTTTGTTGCCCCTACGGAGCTCTAAAAACAATAATAATCGGCAAGGTTTTGTTGCCCCTCCGGAGCTCTAAAAAGAATAATAGTCGGCAAGGTTTTGTTGCCCCTCCGGAGCTCTAAAAACAATAATTACCGGAAGGTTTTGTTGCCCCTCCGGAGCTCTAAAAACAATTATAGTCGTCAAGGTTTGTTGCCCCTCCGGAGCTCTAAAAACAATAATTACTGGAAGGTTTTGTTGCCCGTCCGGAGCTCTAAACACAATAATAGTTGGCAAGGTTTTGTTGCCCCTCCGGAGCTCTAAAAACAATATTTATCGGCAAGGTTTTGTTGCCCCTCCGGAGCTCTAAAAACAATAATTACTGGAAGGTTTTGTTGCCCCTACGGAGCTCTAAAAACAATAATAGTCGGCAAGGTTTTGTTGCCCCTCCGGAGCTCTAAAAACAATAATTACCGGAAGGTTTTGTTGCCCCTCCGGAGCTCTAAAAACAATAATTACCGGAAGGTTTTGTTGCCCCTACGGAGCTCTAAAAACAATAATTATCGCAAGGTTTTGTTGCCCCTCCGGAGCTCTAAAAGCAACAATTACCGGAAGGTTTTGTTGCCCCTCCGGAGCTCTAAAAACAATAATAGTCGGCAAGGTTTTATTGCCCCTCCGGAGCTCTAAAAACAATTATAGTCGGCAAGGTTTTGTTGCCCCTCCGGAGCTCTAAAAACAATAATTACCGGAAGATTTTGTTGCCCCTACGGAGATCTAAAACAATAATTATTGGCGAGACCTAATTTCCACTATGGAACTCCTAAATTAATTGGCGGGACTTAATTGCCGATACGGAGATGTGAAAGAATGTCTTCATCCAAATGACTGAAACGTTTGGCACAAAAACCGTAATGACTCAGGCTTAGTTTTTCAATCCATCCTTTTTATTTGAACCAATCAATATCGGGAAGTTTTGTTTACCCATCGTTGGTTCAACATCTTTACTTCGCGCTGTGACCCTTTTTGGTGCGTTTTCACAGTTTTTAATCAGTGAAAAACTTGGATTTTTCTCGGGAGGAGGGTCTGGAATTAAATCAGAAAAGGATTAAGAGTCGATATAATGGTACAAAGAATCGTCTTCTTTCCCATACGTTTTAATTAAAACGTCATAGCTTCCGCCCATCGCGCGGGAGGGGTGTGAATTGAGTTCAGAAAAGGATAATACCGGTAGTCGAGATCGAGACGAATCGTCTTCTTTCCCTAATAATTTATTAAAAACGTCTAAGCTTCCGCGCTTCCCTTGGAATTCAGAAAAGGATAAAGAGTCAAGAACGGTACAACGAATCATCTTCTTTCTCTAATAATTCAATCAAACGTCAAAGGGGGAAACTCCCCCCCTCCAGCTCCCCCCCCCCCCCAATTTTTTTTTGAAAAGCATTTTAAAGAGAAATAGAAAGAAAGAGAGCAAGAAAGAAAAAATAGTTAACTACCAGTTTCTCAACAAAATAAGGTATCAAAAATTGCTCATCTGATCGTAATTAAACGCCTAAAACCCCTGAGCTTCCGGGGGCTCTGCCCCCGGACCCAACCAAGGGCCCTTTGGCAGGCCTCTGGATACTCATCTGACTGCAATTTAGTGCCTAAAACCCTTGATCTTCAAGGGGCTCCGCCCGCTGGACCTCACGCCAATCAGTGTCCTGCCAGTGTCACAAATAAAGTATAAAAACATGTTCATCTGACCGTAATCAAATGCTTAAACCCCTGAGCTTCCGGGGGCTCTGCCCCCTGGACCCCACTGGATGCTAATCTGACGGTAATGTAATGCTTTAAACCCATGGGCTTCTGGGGGCTCCGCCCGCTGGACCTCACGCCAATCAGTATCCTGCCAGTGTCACAAATAAGGTATAAAAATATGCTTATCTGACCGTAATTTGCCTTCAACCCATGAGTTTCCGGGGGCGAACAAGGTATCAAAAGATGTTCATCTGACCGCAGGCACGTAGCCGGGGGGGGGGGGCAGTGGGGGCGCCCCCCAAAAAAGCCAAAAAAAGCCAAAAAAAGAGAGGAGAGAAAAGGACGTATGAAGAAACAGGAGCAGACAAAAAACATTTTTGAAATTCAGACAAGGATTAAGAGTCGAGAACGGTACAACGAATCGTCTTCTTTCTCTAATGATTTAATGAAACATAAAAGCTTCCGCGCTTTGCGCGGGAAGGGGAAAACTGTATTCATGCAGGCGAGGATTATTTTCGAGAACGGTACAACGAATCGTCTTGTTTCTCTAATAATTAAATTAAATGTCAAAGCTTCCGCGCTTCGATCGTGCAGGAGGTGGGGTAACTGAATTTAGATAAGGATTAAGAGTCGAGAACGATACAACGAATTGTCTTCTTTCTCTAATGATTTAATAAAACGTAAAAGCTTTCGCGCTTTGCGCGTGTGGATGGGGGGGGGGGAACTGAATTTAGACGAGGATTAAGAGTCGAGAACGGGACAACGAATCGTCTTCTTTCTCAAATGATTTAATGAAACATAAAAGCTTCCGAGCTTTGCGGGGGAGGGGGGGAGGGGATGAATTTAGACGAGGATTAAGAGTAAAAAACGGGACAACGAATAGTCTTCTTTCTCTAATGATTTAATGAAACGTAAAAGCTTCCGAGCTTTGCGGGGGACGGGGGGGGGGATGAATTTAGACGAGGATTAAGAGTAAAAAACGGTACAACGAATCCTCTTCTTTCTCTAATGATTTAATGAAACGGTTTTTTATGTCTGTATTTTGGAGCAAACCCCCCCCCTTTTTTTTAAATGAAACACACACACAAAAAAATTATGCCAATGGCTGATCTAAAAAAGGTGACCTCACCCCCCCCCCCCCCCCACCCCACCCCTCCCCCCACTCCAAAGGGAACAAAATGTCAAATTTTCGAATTTCGAGACCAAAAAACAAAAAAAAGTGTCCTCTTACCCCCCCCCCCCCCCCCCCGCTTATTCAGCGGCTGGCTGAGTCGTTGCGATTTTTTGGGGGGACAAAAAAAAAAGTGGGCCCCCCCCCCCCCAAGGAAGAAATCCTGGATCTGCCCCTGGGTGCACAAACCCCCCCCCCCCCCTACCTTGAAAACAACGGCGTGAGGTGATTTTACGCGCACTTTCCACGTTGGCCTTAGTGCCCCTTAGGATAGATTTGTGCCCCTTTCGGTGGATTTGTGCCCTCTCAAAAAAGTGGCCTTGACCCAAATTTGATGTAATTCGAGGCCTGAGATAGTCAACCTGTTCGAAACATTGAGCCACTCATCCTCTCCAAGTGCTATAGTTCTCCTTAGAACTATATGCTAAGAAAGATAACAACAGTCCTTTTCAGGACTACACACCCCCAAGAAAGATTACAGAGTCAGAGTCCTTTTCAGGACTCCTCAACCCCCTCTCTCTCTCTCACACATGGTGCACCCGCAAACCTACTGTACATTATATCTACATCACCATGCAAGCCGACACTTATAAGCAGCATATTGTTACTGTTTAAAAAAAATTCCATTCTAACTTCAATGTTTTTTTAACACAAAAGAAGGCCTGCATGTATATGCAATGCATGAAATATATTTCCAACCTATTTTATTTACTGCATAGTTAATTAAATGAAAGAAATCTTAACATGCTATTTTGCATGTCTCACATCTTACTTTATGGTTTACGAGTTAAGAGTAGATATTCTACATATTGGTGATTATACACCAAAGGGCACTATAACTCAATGGAGCTACAGAGCGTTTTTGAAAGTAAGGGGCTGAGCATGCAGAGGATCATTATACAAATAATGCATGGCCCAGCGTGCGTTAGTGGTAAATGCAATGCACGCAAGGTTTCATTAGATTAGTGCCGCCTCTGTGCATGAGCCGCTTGCGGCAAGTTCACAGTGTGCACCATCTGAAGAAACCGAGCGTACAACTGCATTTACATTACTGAGTACGCACAACAGGGTCAAGTGCGTTATTTGTTTCATATGCATCCTCCTCCCCCCCCCCCCTCCCTGGTTCTGTGTTAACTCAGAGAACTACTCGGGAGGTAATCTCTTCTTCCTCTCATGAGACTCGATCTTGAACTACGTGTACATTGTCATTGTTTTTTTTAAAATATAGATTGCTATGATTGGTCGTAGCAACGTGGGCAAGTCCTCCTTGATCAAGGCTCTCTTCTCAAATGTACCTGGCCTGACTGTCAGGACATCAAAAACTCCAGTAAGTTTCTCTTAAGCTTGATGCCTCATTTAGTAAAACACCTTTCAAACATGCTGTGGCAAAATGAAATGGCTTACCGGTACCTCAAAGGGTGCGTTGTGTTGAACGCACCAATTCGAGTTTAGAATAGAATTTTAAGAATAGAAATTTAAGCTTTTTTTATTGAAATAATCAAAATTAAAACAGATAGAAAATTAAATAAAACTACCTGACTCGGGTAACAGGCCGCATAAATCAATTGTGCTCAGATCCCCACTGGTTTACGTGTGCGAGTGCGGACACCATACAGTGCTTTTTCTTTGGCTCACATATTGGCTCACATTGGCTCATTTCGTATTTGTTGACGTCTGTTTCTGGAATTTATTACATATGAGTTGGGCAAAATCAGGAAGTTATATGTCCATATTTTGCATGAAAGGGTTACGATTATTGTACTTAGATTGCAAAACTATTTTCAAGCTCACTCACACATGATATATTGAGACACTTTCAAGGCTAGTTATTATTTCAAGTTCATGTACAAACGTCAACAGCTTCAATATAAAATGTAAGTTAATCTCACTTAAATCCTTGGTCTGGTAACAATTATTTGCCCATTGTTGTGTATTGTACTACATTTTCCATAACAATGAATTGTTATGCAATTTTCAGGAAAATGTCATTTGTTATATTTGTTATATTTATGCTTTTATTAACTGGACTAGACATTTGCAAATTCATAAAACGTTAATGTACTGTACATACACTATCACCAGCAAGCAAGTTCCTCAACAAAGAATTCAGAAATTAAACAACATTAGCCTTTATACTGTTTCATTAATGAGATATATCTTGAATCAACTCAGACAGAGTGATGTTATAGAACAACTTACCAGTTCTAAATGTTCATTTTCTTCAATAAACCTGGGAAACCTCTGTCTTTATAGATACACATAGTGTATTACTAAATTTGGTGCCTGGCCTAACGGTGTTGGTAATGGTGTAGGCCCGTTTGAGACTATATATATATAGCCTTTACACTGTTTCATTAATTAGATATATCTCAACTCAAATCAGATTGAGTGATTTAATCAAACAATTTACCAGTATTAAATGTCCATTTTCCTAAATAAACCTGGGAAACCTCGGGTCTTTATAGATATACATAATGTATTACTGGTACTAAATTTGGTGCCGGGATCAATGATGGTGGCACTAATTTTTAATGTTGTAGGTTCGTGTTTCATTAATGAGATATATCTCGACTCGAACCATATTGAGTGATGTTATCGAACAACTTACCAGTATTAAATGTCCATTTTCCTAAATAAACCAAGGAAACCTGGGTCTTTTTAGATACACAAACCGGATATTGCTATTTTCAATTCTCTGTTTGTACTTGGCTTCATGGGGTAATTCTTTCTTTACAATGATTCTCTTCATTTCCTGACTAATACTTACAAACTTACTTGTGTGCTAGTACATGTGTATATACGAACGACGCACGTTTGTGATGTAGGGAATAACACAAATTCATATATCCACTAAACTTGGTGCCAACATACATGTATGCTACCAATAATGGTGGTCTTCCATGAGGCCCTGTTAAACATAATGAGGAACAATAGTTTTTAAAATATATATATTATAATAATAACAAAATCATGAACATAAATTCATAACAGCAATGAAGAATAAGTAAGAACATACATGTAAACATATATGTACAAAGTATTTGGTATCCTTGTAATGAATGAATGGTTTGTCTGTTTTGTTTTGCTTTGCTTTTTTGTTCAAGAAAACGTTGTATATTTATAATATCTTTGTGTAACATTATAGTATAGACGGTAATTATTTTTTTATATCCAACAAAAACTAATTGTTAGCATATTTTGGTATATATTAGACTTTGAAAAAAGGCAACATATACTTTTGAGAATTCATAAAAATAGTATAGAAAGTACTAAGATTAAGCAATTGTGCATCTCCAAACACTAATGTATATTGACTATTTCTACCCTTTTATCCTGTGTATTCTTGTATTTGACTTTGTCTTTGAAGGGACACACAAAGCTTCTGTTATTCTACCAAGCTGGTTCAGCGTTCAGTCTGGTTGACCTTCCAGGCTATGGGTTCAGGCAGCCGGAAAACTTTGCAGTTACGGCTGAAGGCTACTTGAGGACCAGGAAAAAGTAGGTTTATATTGATGATGATAATACAATACAGCTGAAACTGAAAGTTATTTGATATATTGTTTTATATGACCATGAAAACATTCAGGAAGTATGTTTATTTATCAATTTATGTAACAATGCCAATTTAGAACCAATAGAATGAAAAAAACACCGCTCTCATAATACAATATTTGTTCACTTGGTCATGGATGATCTTTGATTTTCTTCAAGGCCCTTTTGCATAAAAAACATAGCTCCAAAATTGAATCCCAAATACACAATTCTGATATGTTAAAAATAAAGTTGCATTATATTTTTTTAGCAGTGCTTGAACCCCCAAAAGCATGTCTTTTATACTGTAGTGCTGTTTGTTGTTCTGAGATCTTGTGGATGTTTTCTCCCATTCTTATCCAAGATGTATTTTATGACATTGAAAATGAGACTTTGTGGAGGGGGGGGGGGGGGGGGGGGGGGGGGGCTATGAATAGCGGTGATGCAGTGTCATAGTCGGATGGTTCAAACACTTGATGGGAGATGGGGAAAGTCATAGCTTCAAACCCCAGCAGTGTCTCTTGATAATTAAGACATTAATCTCCATTTGCCACTCTCCACCCAGGCGTCAAATGGGTAATAATCAGTAATAACATTTTCACACTTGTTTTTTAACCCCGTACTTTGCTTAGCCCTGTACTATCCTTAACCCCGGACTAACATTTTTGCGCTTTTCACACATGCTTTTTTAGTCCTGTACCAAGCGCCTACCCAGGAATAAGAAAATTCGTGCTGTTCTCTCTGCAAATCGTTAGCCTCGTACTAGCTGTATAGCGTGAACATTCATTAATTCGCTCCATTGCTTAGTACAATTCTATTTTTCGTTTCTGTTCTCATTTATTTGCTTGGCACCGCAAATGCGGAGTTAGCACTGGTATACTGTTTTAACACTGGCAAAAATTTGCTTAACCCCGGACTATAGGTGGGCTTAACGGAGGGTCTGAGCCCCACCTGTAGTCCGGGTTAAGCTTATTCTACTTTCTGTTCAGACACGTATTAGTAGAGTCTGTGCTGGCAGACTGGTGAATAGGTACCAGTAGAAAGAAATTCCTGGAATTGGATGCTGTGAGCATCAAAATTTTAATAACAAAATCAGAAAATGTTGTTTCCCTGAAATGTTTGGAACTCTGCTTCAATGAAATACATATATTGCTGGTACTGGCATTTGTGTGCAAGCCAGTACATCAGTATACTCCTCTTCCAATGCTTGACGGTAGTTTGCAAGCACACATTGATTCTTATCAGTCACTGTAAACAGTGTCTGCACTATGAAGACTAGCCTTACAGCATACTGCATAATATAGGCTCTCTACTTATAAAGTCTCTGCTTTAGGAGTTGTGGTAAAGTGTCAAATTAGAGTCTGTGCCTGCAGACTAGCTTGACGGTTGGGCCCCATACTTTTGTTAGCCCTGGGGGGTGTTTCACAAAGATTGTAAGTTGGACTTAAAAGTTATAGAAAATCATTAGCATCTATGAAAATATTTTGTAAAAGTTATTTTAAAAGGCATAAAATGTTGATTCAATTCATTTATATTTTTCTATTGTCAAGGAGATTTCATGTTCTTGATGTGAAATTCATGAAAAGTCTAAAATACTTCAATTTTCGCTTTTGAATATATTTTTTTTAAGGCTACAAACGGCTCTCCATAATTTTTAAGTCTAACTTAGAGTTAAGTTCAACTTAGGATCTTTGTGAAACACCCCCCTAGACTAACTTTTTGGCTTTTCACACACGCTGTTTTAGTCCTGTACTTTGATTAAGCGCCTATCCCGGGATATTCGATAAGAAAATTCATGCTCTACTCCGGAGTTGCGGAGTTAGCCCTTCTTTTTTGCAAGGCCATCTAACCCCGTACCTTAGGGGGGTCTATTTGCTATTCATAAGGGCCTTTATTCATAAGGACCCCTATTCATAAGGACCGCTATTCATAATTCACATTGATGGTCACTTCTCGTAAGGACCGCTATTCATAATACGAAATGAGGGTCTCTATTCATAATACGAGAAGAGGGTCGCTATTCATAATTTACATTGGGGGTCACTACTCATAAGGACCGCTATTCATAATACGAAATGAGGGTCTCTATTCATAATACAAAATGAGGGTCACTATTCATAAAACAAGAAGATTTAGGTCAAATAAGATGCGATTTTGCGACCGTAAGGCATTATGCAAACGGTGGCGTCCCCTATATTATGGCAACATCAAAAATTTAACCCAAGGTTAAATTTTTGAATTTTTAATATAACTCTGAAAGTATAGGTTCTTATTCAATGAAATTTTGACTAAAGGGTTATCAAGTATCCCTTATCATGTGAGTAGAATTTCAGGTCACAAAGTTAAGGTCAAAGGTCATTTCAGGTCAACAAATTTAGACTATGTTGTGGCATCAACATCAAAAAACTTACCGGTAACCAAAAGTTGTCCTAATCTCAATTTTTTTTATCATATCGAATTGCGTAATGCAGGCGAGACTGCCGAGAGCATTTCCCTTGTTTATGAGAAGCGACCCTTAAAGTACAAGTCCACTCCAAATATAACTTACGTAATTCATTACTTTCTTATTAGTTATCCGATTTTGCTCAAACTTTTTATATTGGTTCGTCTGATTTTTCTGCTTCTATTGAAAGTAAGTTATTTTTGGAGTGGATTCGTCCTCTAATAATAATAATAATAATAGGCATTTCTATAGGGACCCTCATGAATAATGACCTAACTCTATATTATGAATAGCGACCTTTTAGTCCTATTATAAATAGCGACCCTTATTTTGTATAATTAATAGCGACCCTCTTCTCGTATTATGAATAGCGACCCTCATTTCATATTATCAAAATTGACCCTTTTCCAGAGGTGCCAACCAGTACGATTTAATCGTATTTAGTACGATAATAAGAGTGGAATACGATAATACGATATCACCTCTTAAAATACGATTTTTTTTTCAAACAAAAAGTTTTTTTTTTTTTTTTTTAACACCCATAAAAAACATGGAATCGCATTAAAACATGAACAAGTAAACCCCCGCAGCCCCAACAAAAACTTTGCTTTACAATTTTCTCTTAAAATTTTGATGAAAGAGTAAATATTTTACTTGACTGTACGTACCAGTATCATATTTTTCTGCAATTTTACTGGCCCGGGGCCAACCGGCCATTGGTAGTGTCAAGTTTTCGTGAAAATCTGATTTTTTAGGATACTCAGTCTGTTTTTTTGTGTCAAGAGGTTGGCATCTCTGCTGCACTACATTATTGCAGATTTTTACAAGAGCCATATTGTGAATTCAGTGCATCATTTTATATGGAGTGGCTTATAGTCACTTGTGTGTGAATCTTCAAGGTGATTTTGTGGCTGAAGCAAGAGCTTGGAACTAAAAAGAACTGAGTTTGCAGTTTAAACAAGGTATATAGATGAACATGTACAATTGAATATGTTTTAAAAAAACTAATTACAGCAAAAATATGGTCTTTACGGTATGCATTTGCGCTGCGTTACGACATCAATAGGATTTTAATAGGTGTAAGGAAGGCCGGTAAAAAAATACTAATTTTGATGGTAAAATACTAATTTTGGAGATGCTGAGTACTAATTTGTACTTACAAAGGTTGGCAGCTATGCTTTTCTTGTATTATGAATAGGGACCCTTATGAATAACGACCCCGATTTTGTTTTATGACTAGCGACCCTCTTCTCATATTATAAAACCTTCATTATTTAATGAATACCGGCCCTCTTCTCTGATTATGAATAATGACCCTTATGAATAATGACCCTTTCCTCAAATTATGAAAAGCGGACCTTATTAATACAAACCTTATGAATAGCGGACCTTATGAATAGCGGTCCTTATGAATAGCGACATTGTCCCACTTAAGGTGGGGCTAGCCTAACTACTTTGGTAAAGTTGTGTCTGAACAGAAAGTGGGCTAAGCATAGCCCTGGGGGAGGGGGGGGGGGGGGTATTTCACAAAGACTAAGATCGACTTTAAGCTGGACTTAACTATGGCAGGCCATTAATTCATGCCACTATTTGCTCTCGCCATTACGATCTTCAGATAATATTTTTTTCTTCAATAATGAACTATCAAAAAATGTAAATTCTGTAGATTTGTAACCATGATTTGTACATCCTTTGAGAGACCAATGCCAGTAAATGGTGAGAGAAAACAGTGGCATGAACGGCCTGCCATCGTTAAGTCCAACTTAAAGTCGGTCTTATTCTTTGTGAAACACCCCAAAGTGGGGTTAAGACCCCCTTTAGTCCCACCTATAGTCCGGGCTAAGCAAAATTTGACCAGTGTAAAAAGCATGTACATGTAAATCGTCTTCTCAATAAGCTACAGGTTCCTAAATGGTCTCTTGTCTGTTTGGTGTCAATATTTTTGTATAACTGGTCACTGCACTGTAGTGGTATCAATTGTCATCATTTCATCCAGCTTGCAGATGCCTTTTCTCTTAATTGATATACACGACGGCTTCCAACCGATGGATTTTACAGCAATCAAGATGCTTGAAGATTTCTCCCGACCATATTCAGTAAGTTTGATTTGATGTATACCAACTCCAAACAGACTGATTTTTTTTTCCCATAGGGTTAATGTAATATCTTTGGTTTTGTATTGTTGTGACTTGGGTAATACCATGGCAGCTTAATTGGGTTAGCTTGCTTTAAATTGCATTGTTTAAGTTATGTAACCATTTGTTGTTGTTTGAAGAAGAGAATTTTTTCCGATATATCTATATTTAAATTTAACTTTCCTAAAAACTTTTTTTAAATTTTTATTTTCTTGAACTTTCCTAAAAACTTTGTGCAATACATTTAACTTATTACCATGTGAATATTGTAAATCGAAGATTTACTTCTAATGAACAAACTTATCTTTTATCATTCCAAAGTTGAGTTTTTAATTTGAAATGTAATCTTTTGCAATTTCTCATCTTGTCTTTAGATGTCTACAATGGTTTTAAATTTGAAATAATCGCCAAACTCCTGGTGTAATTTGAACAACACATTTTTCTAAAACTCACTTTTGAACTCTTTGGTTTTCTGCTTATATATTTTATATTTGATTTTTAATCTATGTCAAACTATGTTCATTGTAATTGGTATGTATATTTTTGTAATTTTGCATATTTTTATCTGTGAATTGTATCGCAATTCAGCCTTTTACGGCTGCGAAGATATTTTTTAATAAACCTTGAATTGAATTGAATTGAATTGAGCTTGCACATGGCTGGATGGTCGTAAATGCCGGTATGAGTGGATTAGGGGCGGTCTAAGTTTGGGGGTCCCGAAGGGCCTTAACTTTAGTTAACTATATTTAGGCCGAAATATAAATGGGCTATTTTGCTCTCAACTAATGAAGTAATCTAATCCTCTATGCCCTGGATCAAGAGATCCTGTCTAACCAGGCAGTCACAAACATTGAAAGAAAGCACGATGTTGATTTTAATAAAGGCATTGTAGACCCTACACAGATGGTTTTATCTACTTGAGAGCCTAATTTTACTGTAACACAAAGTCAATACCCTGTGGGGTGATCAACGCTTGATCAAGGCATTATTTCGCAGTCGATATATATTGTTGGCGGGTTGAGGGTTACAATTTGGTTTTAGATTAGTTTTACATTTAGGGTTAGAGTGCATATATGCAGTGTTGTTAGGTTTAGGGTTCCAATAGGGTTGTAGGTTAGTTTTATGGTTGGGGTAACCGTACAGTGTTGTTGGGTTTAGGATTCCAATAGGGTTTTAGGTTAGTTTTATGGTTGGGGTAACAGTACACTATAGTAAATTGTTGTTAGGTGTATAGGTTCCAATTGGGTTTACCGGTAAGGTTAGTTTTATGTTCGGGGATAGAGGACCTGCAGTACAGTGTTGGGTCCTGAATTGAAGTTAGGAATTCAGATAAATGTAGTTGGCTCTTGACTGATTTGATTTAATATTATCTGTTATTTTAGTTGATCGTCACCAAGGTGGACAAGGTATCACCGAGGAAGCTTGTTACATCTCTCCTGTCAATCCGCGATATCCTACAAACCAAGACCACTACCTGTCTACCACAACCATTCCTCGTCAGGTAGGACACCTTTCTTTATCGTACAGGGTTTCTGGGTATCCTATAAATCAGGGGAAACCTGGAAATAAGTTCCCTTGTCTTCGAGCCAGGCTAACAATGTCAGGGAATGTGCAACAACAAAAATCAATCAAATTAGGAAAAAAAAGCAAGGGAAACCTGGAAAATAATTTCCTTTTTTTCAAGTCAGGGACAAGTCAGAGATTTAAATCAAAGCATAGGTAATTAGGGATTTCTCTTGATGAAAAATAAAACAAGCTGTCAATGTATTGTAGTTTGTCTCATGTCCTAACATCATCCACTGGATGGATGGTTGGCTGAGGTTCGTGTGTAAAATACCCCTTGGAAGTTTAAAACTTCAGGGAAGAATCAGGAAATTTGTGTTTATGAAGTGATTAAAACCTTGTAATAAGGAGTCTTGAGCTTTGATGAATATGATTACTATAATAATTACCAGTATACAATATAATTCTCACAAATTTAAAGGTAATGCAAAGTAGTATTGAAAGAGTAATGATTCTTTAAAATGTTGATATATTTGGATGCCCCTGTGGATGTAGGCACTAGAAAATTTAGCCCCTAAAACACTTCTGCTTACAAGAAATTTGGATAATCAAAATTTACTGGTGCTCCTGGTAAATTTCAAATATTTCAAATAGCGCCCAAGGCCATTCCATGGTAGCTGCAACCATGAAAATCTCAGAATATGTAGTTCTGGTATATGATTTCCAAACAGGAATAGCAAATCAAGCGATTGTAGGCAAGAAACATTGTTTTAAAGCTAAAGTAATATCAGTCTTCAGAGGGAGCTATACAACAGAGTTTATTATTTACAATTTCATCACTTTAGACTCGATTTCAACCGCGACAACGATCATTGAATACTGTTAAATCACATACCGGTATGCTTCCAAAACGTATGTTTTTTTTTAAAGACTAAAAATAATGATACATGTATCTGCCCTGTATGATTGAGTCTTGAAGCTCTTTTCATTCTTAAAGTTTATGGGAAAAAAAATTATTTAGTAAAATGGAATTGAGAGTTATTTGTCACTTGTGGATTTCCATGTCTTATTGCATAATTCTCCTAAATGCTCGAAGGGACAAAGCAAAAAGTACTACCGGGTATGTACAATGCTATTCTCCACTCCTGACGACGGATAGTCAACCTGTTCGAGACGTCAAGCCACTCATCCTCTCCAAGCGCTATAGTTCTCCTTAGAACTATAAGCTAAGAAAGATAACAAACACAGTCCTTTTCAGGACTACACACCCCAAGAAAGATTACCAAGTCAGAGTCCTTTTCAGGACTCCTCAATCCTCTCTCTCTCTCTCACATGGTGCAACCGCAAGCCTACTGTATAAATAATTATTTGTTGGAGGGGGGGGGGGTTTGGTTGGTGGCAGAAAAAATATTTCCACCCATTCTTTTAGGGGTTGACTTGATGTCCCAAATACTTTTGACTGATATTATTACTGTACAGGTATACTATACATGTACCTAATTTCTAGAGATGTACGCTACTGCAGAAATGAAAAGAACAGTGAAAATTGTGAAAATCCATCCTAAAATTTGATGGATACTGGTAGAGTATTAAAATGAATTACAGTTCTCTCTTGAAATGCCAATTGTTTAGGGGGCTAAAAGAGAAATTTGACTTTAATAATAATAATATGGATATTATGTTGTTAATCCTAGTTTATCATTTTCTGTTATTGTTTTTTCTCTTACAGTGCTACAAAGATGAAGGGGATAGCTTTTCTGCGGAGTTACATAGCGCATCTTACAGGGAGTGTCAGGGTATCGAACAGATGACACCAGCCATAACTACAAATTATTCTATGACTATACACTAGGTATTGTACAATCAACAACCTGTGCTCATCCATGCAATGTACGCAACTTCATTGCCGCAGCAGCTGAATTCACTCATTGTCATAGGCTTTGAAATCTTCCCTTATATTTCATAGTGCAAAATTATTTAGTAAAAACTTTGTTTTGGTGGGGAAAAAATTAAAATGGACATCTTACCTCCAACTTCATCAAAACTTGAATGCAAGTTAAAATGAAGTTAAATGGACTTAATTACCACACAGTAAATGAAACTACATTTCCTTTGAAGGAATGTTTCACTGCTTGTGTTTGACATTGCTGCCCACAAAAACAAGACTAATTTTGCAGCATATACATGTTATACATGATAATGCTCAGTACATGAAAATGTAGAACCTGCCTTAGTTGCATGCAGTTTGGTTCATGATTCATGACAGGCAATAGAAATAGACAAAGAAAACAATAGAAGAATGTCATTGTGAAAGGAAGAGAAGTGTGCTCTCACATTTCAATTGCACTTCCTCGGACAAATATAGACTGCCATAAATGGTCTACATGTATGTTGACGTTTTATTTCCTGGTATGTGTTGAAAATGAAATAAATTAACCATGAGATCATTTCATTCGACTGGTGTGGTTTTGTTCATTGTTGCATCGAATGGGAGGATATAGTTGGGACAAGTGTAGAGCAGTGTTCCCACATAAACCACCGAAACAGAAATAATACTGAAAAGTGCTGAAAGATGTAAAGTTGTAACCCATATCAATGAATGCATACATATACATGTAGGGTTATTTAAGGAAAAATGTTGACTTATGAAGTCAATTTTTTTTTTCCGGAGAGGGGGGGGGGGGGGGGAGGAAAAAAAAAAAGTATAATTTAAAAAAACTGCAACATTTGTAAATCACTGGTATCGAATTAGAAATAAACTATGTTATATTTTATTTTTTCGGGGGGGGGGGGGGGCAGGGGAAGAGGGGGGAGTAACTACCCCCCCCCCTCCAATAGGAGGATATTGTTGGAACAAGTGTAGAGCAGCATTCCCACATTAACCACAAAAACAGAAATAATAAAAAGGGTTGGAAGATGTAAACTACCGGTATATCAATGAACATGTAGAGTGTTTAAGCAAAAGAGGTGCTCATAGCTATGCTTTGTTCATTTTGCCTTCGCTTAGCTTTAAATATAAGATATAGAAATTGTTTGTTTGGGGAGGTATTAATCTCCAGCACACTATTTAAAAGTGGAGCATTAACCAAACGAGTCACGCTTTGTTTGAGGAGGAAATAACATTTGTTATGTCTGAAGTTCACTTCCTTGTTTATATATAGAAACACTATACATTCATACAGCTTATGCACCGGTTCTCAAACTCTTTGACATGCAACGTTAAAGGCCAACAGCATTACTGAGCATACTTCATGTATAACTACCGGTAGATAAACATATAAATCTTCTTGATGGAGGTTCTGAAGGTCATATCAATAGTGCAATAGTAAAATTGAATGGAGTAAAATGGTTCTATTAATCAGTCATGTGTGTAGCCCTCTAATTATAGAAAACTGATACCGGTAGGCCTATGCCAAATCTGCTTTAATTTGGGAACCTTTGGAACTGTAGGAAATTGCTTTTATGTAAAGCCCATCTGACCTTTCCACTAAAGGAAAGCCTATGATATTCACCAGGTTGGCTTTACCGTTAATGTGATCTTTCTGAATCACAATCAGAAAGAGACAACATATATTTACATTTCATGTCTTTGCTATTTCTTTTTCTTCCAAAACCTGATCACAATCACATTGTGAGTTGTGCGGGCTTATTGAATTAACAATGGATTTGATTAATTTTGCTAAAGCAGCTGATTGTTGGCAAGCAGCTTTATTATTACATTAAAGTGATAAAATAAAGCAGGATTAAAGGGCAAGTCCACTCCAAAAATAACTTACTTTCAATAGAAGCAGAAAAATCAGTCGAACCAATCAAAAAAGTTTGAGCAAAATCTGACGACTTAAAAAGATATGGATTTTTGATGCCATGAAAAACTTTGAAAATCACAAGACAAATTGGCAACTTACTCATGAGTCTGTAACGTCATTGCCTCACTACTTTGTCTTTATATTATAATATCAATTTTCCATTTCCCCCTAATAACTTTTTTCTTCACACCAGCATCCAAGTTATATTGATAGTAATATGTTTTTGTGTGGGTGCAATTTTGTTTCAGTTAAATCATGAAAAATGTGAATTTTGATAACCATTTATATAAAAATCAATAATTATGAATATACAATATTCAGAAAATAGTATCAATTCTACAAAGTTCATAAAAGATTTTGTGAAATTTCATACATGCAATATGAAACAAATCATATTACAGAGGCAAAGGCATGGGAAATGACGTTTTTTGGGGGGAAAAGGGAATTATTGGGATTAAAATTAATAAAGCAATTGATAAATAGTGACATGACGTCACAATCTGATAACCAAATTGGCAATTAGGGTAGTGATTCCCATTGTTCCATGGTTTTACATACTTTTTCAAAAACCGTAACTTTCTTATTAGTTATCCGATTTTGCTCAAACCTTTTTGATTGGGTTGTCTGATTTTTCTGCTTCTATTGTATGTAAGTTATTTCTGGAGTGGACTTTCCCTTTAAGAACCAAATATGATGGGGCCCCTCAAGCTTTGCAAAATTGGGGTTTTGTTTATATGATAGTGCATAAAATAATTGAATACAATGATTACAATCACATTGTCCTATATGGTTTAAGAGTTTACAAGGTCAAAATGAAATGGAAAACAATTCTTGGTGACCAAGGCATATTAAAAAAAAGAGGCTGACTGATAAAAGGCGATAAGTATTATATGCATTCATTTTTTGACCCGTTTTTAATGTTTACCCTTCCTATCAACTTACATGGATGCGAACTAAACCCAACAAATTCACCCCCACAGAAAAAAAAAACTTGATGAATAACACAGAGTCTCTAATACGCCTCACCGTACATGTAAATGAATTCATCAATGATCCTGTGACCTCTTTAACATCCAATTTCAACCCTCATCGGCCCAACGCTTATCATTTAAATTTCATCAAACGTTTTTAAATACAAAGATCCCACTATTCACTCACTTACTGGACCAATCTACACTAGTCGGATCTACGGTAGATCTGTCTAACGGTGAGTGAAAACGCACAACGATGCCAGAAAATGATCTTCTGCCAGTGGACTGATCCAGACCGATCTAGCGTGCAGGGTGAATCTAAACTGTGCCAGGAAGCGTACTTCAGCCGGAAGTGAGTGTGTTTTGGCGGGAAAGTAATAAAGGCGGGAAAGTAATATAAGAGAGTAAGAGATAACAAGAATAAAAAAAATAATATAAGGAGAGATAGAGAAAATGATAAAAACAAATAACATAAAGAGAAGGAGAAACAAAGAATAACATTAGGAAAGACTGAAAGAGAAAGTGATAAAATGATAAAACAAAGAAGGTGATAGAAAGAAGTAGAAAGAATAACATAAGGAAATGAAGAGAAAATGATAGAATGATAAAAACATGAGAGAAGGTGATAGAAGGGAGAACAATATTAAACACAAGGAAAGGAAGAAAGTGATACAATTATAAAAACAAAGAATAACATAAATAAATCAAAGAATAACATGAGAGAATGTTATACAAGGAAGAAAAAGAGAATAACACAAGGAGGAAGGAAAAGAAAATGATAGAATGATAAAAACAAAGAATAACATGAGGAAAGATAGAAAGAAAAATGAGAGAATTATAACAGACAATAATAAGAGAAGATACAAAGACTAACATAAGGAAAGACTAACATAGAGAGACAAAGAGAAAATGATAACAAGGGAAACGCTCTTGGCGATCTCGCCTGCATTACGCAATTCAATATGATGAAAAATTGAGGTTGGGGCATTATTCATAGGCAGGGTGGCCCATTAGCAGCCCCCCTGGCCCCCTCCCCAATGAAATCCTCTGAATATAATCCGCATTTTGAAGTGAATATTGACCAAGAGTCAACAGAAGAATTATTTACTATAATTTGTACCAAGATTAATAACTTTCCTGTAAATGGAATATGAAAAAATAACAAAAATTGATTTATTAATCCTCACACACTGACCTAAAATGACCTTTGACCTTGACTTTGTGACCTGGAATTTGTGACATAAGATTTGTGATACTTGATAACCCTTGTGTACAACTTTTATGGAATTTGAACAAACACTTTTGAAATTATGCTAAAAATTCAAAATCTTGACGCTGATGCCACAAAAAAGTCTAAGTTTGTTGACCTGAAATGACCTTTGACCTTAACTTACTAACGTGAAATTCTACTCACATGATTGGGGATACTTGATAACCATTTAGCGTAAGTTTCATTGAATAACAACTTATACTTTCGAAATTATATTAAAAATTTAAAAACTTAACCTGAGGTTAAGTTTTCAATGGTGATGCCAGAACATGGTCTAAGTCTGTTGACCTGAAATGACCTTTGACCTTGATTTTGTGACCTAAAATTCTACCCACATGATTGGGAATACTTAATAACCCTTTAGTCCAAGTTTCATTGAATGAAACCTTAAAATTATACTAAAATTTCAAAAACTTAACCTTAGGTTAACCTTAGGGTCAACCACAAGTTGCTGCCATGCACATTTCAACAAAACACATCAACAACAAACATTTGATTTTGTAACTACGTAAAAGACTTTATTTCTTACACATACATCGTAAAGTGATCATGATTTATACAAATAAAGTGAGTTTGAGGATCCCAATCTCTTTTGGATCCTCTCTTCTTTTTTTTCCACCTGTAGTATTTATAGTTTTTTCTACTTAAACTTTTGGAAACCATCATCTTTTACCATCAGTCTTCTTGGCCCACACATTTGAAAAAACAAACAAAAATTATACAAAGTGCCGAGTGCATTTGATTTGCACCACCGAAACATCATGTACTTAAACACTCAAAGAGCAGAACAATACGTATTTGTTTTATTGGCATACAGTTTTTCAGTTAATAAGAGCATACTTGTCACGCTCACTAAAAGATATGAAATTAGATCATACCCAGAAAATGTATGTACAGGTACCAGTTACACATACATTTCGGGACATTAGAACATTGACCGACAAATCAAAATTAGCGGGAAAGGACTGATAAGTTAAAGAATACATGGAGTTGCTAGGTCATCCCAACATGTCAGGGACATGGCACACAAACTTCTCAAGCAAGTTCAACAATACTCACAGATTAAGCCAAAGATGTGAATAAAAGGCATCACTGTGCGACCCTCTCTATGAATGAATGGTGGTGGTTATTATATCCGACTGCTAAGAAAACATAAATGCTTGTACTGTAAGTAAGCAACCAGACGGCCGACAGCTTTAAGTCCTCTCCAAGACCTGGTAATGAGGATTAATGCCTTACCAAAGGGCACTAGTGCATCGTCTTGGTTTCGAACCCGGGGTCACCGGATTACGAGACCACTGCTCTACCGACTGAGCTAGCGCGCCTCCTACTCTCTAATAGTAAATTCTCACAATTTTTTGAATTTTCCCAACCCTTTTTCAATGTAAATATGAAAGACATACAACACTTAAATGTCTGGAACGGTTTATAGAGCTAATTCATTGCTTTGTGGCGATTTACATTCACCTAGAATGTAATTAAATTGTAATACCCCAGTAATAAAGTTGGGAGAATTATGGATCAATCAGATCAGTTTTTCCCAATTTTTATCATTCATTATGGTTCGTTTTCACTCAACCTTTCAGATTATCTTTAATTGTGCATCTAACATTGAAGTCACTACCTGAGCACCATTTTCTCTCATCTGAACAATGTTACCTGGTCCCTTTAAATATAGTATAGCGACAGGAAACCCCTTTATAAACTAAAAGAGCAAAATAGCTTCTGGTCATTAGAACTTTTTAATGAAGGTCTTGATGACATAAACATTAACAAACCCAAGGCAACTGGGACGTTAAAAATGGGAAATTTTTAATAACAAAGATGATCTACGTTTTTTGAACTGTCCAGTTTTAGCAAATGAATTGTGAGGAAATATATGTTTGCCAAGGGGGATTCATCATACATCAGCAACACCTAAAATCTGGGATGGGGGGGGGGGGGGGGGAAGCGCCAACATACATGTACCTTCCTCATCTAGAATTCCATGACAATCCAGAGTAAAAAATTCCAAGCATTCATTCAATCTCAGTGAGTTCACAACACATGCTTCCACGATAATTTGTCAGCAGTAAACTCTTAACATTTACCAAATTTCTAACTGTTCAAGCTTGCACTCAGCCCTACAGTGTATACAAAACCCCAAGGAGATCATGTGAATTGATCTAGCCGTAATGTCGGTGGTGCAATCAACTCTCTATCCTCGCCTACAAACTGACCCAGCGAACGCCGGTTCGAGACCGAGTCACGTCTTTTGGATGGTGACGCTAAAGTTCGAGCCCCAGACATAAATTATCATATCTGATTGAAACAAGTCTGAAAAAAAAAAGAAAAAAAAATACACACACAAACCTAACCTAAACCAAAATGACTACCATAGACTAACATAACCTTGTAAAGCCCTGGGACCTGTTTCACAAAGCCTTTTTTCAATGACAAGTGATAAAAAACAGTGCCAAATCTGTTGATAACCTATCAGAAGCAAGGATTTCAGAAGCAAGGATTTCAGTAGCTTTTAACAAAAACTGTCATTTGTCACTGTGACACGTTTTGTGAAAGCCCCCCCCCCCCCCCCCCCCAAGAGCAAATGTCTCTGAGTGAATGTTGGATCAACTTTCAAAGAAACTTGGAGAGGAGAATGCATGGTTTACATGTTGGATCATGTGAAACGCAATCCTAAATTTTAATACCCTTTGAAAGTGCATATTTTGCTATGCTCAGTGGAGTTTTATGAGTATTGCTTACAATTTTCTAATCCTATGCTGCAACAAAGAAGAAAATCACATTATCACAAAGTTTGTGGAATCACACTAGATATTTAACCTTTCTTTAATAGACAATTCCTTCAACTTGTTCAGTGTGGCCTACCCACCAAGGACAAAGTGCTTTCATTGTTAGTGCAATGTATCTAATGTAGAAATGTACAGAGTATAACAAAGAATTCACAATATGATTCTTATGTCATGTGTGAAAGAAAAAAAATACCCCTTCCCCCCCCCCCCCCAATAAAACTTTACTTTACCATACTGCCGACATTAACCCTCCATGAAAAGAAACAAACATGGAATTTTAGTTCATTTAAGGTATGACTCGAGAAGTCTTAGTAAAGAGGGGTTGCAATTATTATGAAACTCCCCCCCCCCCCCCAAAAAAAAAAAAAAGCAGAAAAAAAAGCAGAAAAAAAGGCAATATTTGGTAAATTACCTACCGGTACCCAATAATTGTTCACCACAATAATGGAGGTTTTCACTTTTTCTGTGTTTGTTTTCTTAAAGGCATTTTGTTAGTGTACATGTTGGGTTCAAAAGTCAAAATAAACATCAAATTTGAGAAGGACAAACAAATAATTGATTTTCATGTCTATTTTAAGTGGTTTACCCCATGTCCAAAACACTATGTATATTTCATTTTCATCATACCTTCAAATATAACATTGTGCCTTTTAATATTCAAATGCATCAATGCAAACATACAGAAAAAAAAAACCTGTGCATGTCTCTCTTATACTCACTGCACACTGTACGATCCTACTGCGATTTGACTTTTGAAAAAGTTGTAATTACATGTTACAAAACAAATGAAAGAAACCAAATTGAGATTCCAAAGTACAATAAGGCTACTAACAAACATATGTGAATGCTTTAAAAATTTCTAGTCGGTGTAAAAGCAAAATGGCTTCCAAACAGAGACAATTGCACAACTGGTATGTCAACACAATTCAGAGCTAAGTCCGATATTCCTCCTACAAGAAAGCTTGCAATCCCCCAAAATCTTGATTTTTGTTATTCATCTGACAGCTCAGAAACTCGAGCTTGAGATTGTAAGAGATTGAATAGTTGTGTGAAATATAATAGCAAATTCTTCACAAATCAGATCACAGTCAAATTGTACAGTGTGCAGGGGGCTTTATAGAGCAAAACAATTAAGCACAGCTTTTGTTTTGACAACGTGATTCAACAAAGACATGTAAGAACTGATCAACAGTAAACAAGTGTAGTGACATACTGAAAAGTTATTTCAATGACAAAGAAGCAGTAAAGAATTACAGATAACAACCATCACATATGGTATTAATTACTCTCCCAATAAAACAAGTCTCTATCCTTTCTTCTTTTCTCTCTCTTGGAGTAGGCTTACTAAACCAGAAGGATACAACTAACACTTTATATCTACTGATAACTTGCATAACTCAAAAAGCTCTCTATGACCACTTTTACAGCCTTTCAAAGAGTAAGACGCAAGACGGAGTGAAAATACTAGGATAATCACACAAAAATATACATCGCTTTGCTATCCACATTCACTTGCTTTCTGAAGAAGATAAAATGAGAGAATTTCCATTGAAAATATAGACGATCTTGAGATGAAGATCCTTCCACCATCTCTGGGCAGCGAGTTTGTCGTCAAGGTCGCCTCTTTCTGGAGCTGCTGGATTTAGTACACAGGGGTCAAGGTTCAAATTAAAAGATGTGTCCAATAATTATGCAGAGTTTATCAGTGATGAAATAAACGTTTTTTATCAATGCACTGGTAGTGGTTGTATACTTAGAGTAATTCAAAAGTAGAATTAATTAAATTATTACAGAAATTCTGTGTAAGTTTCCTTCATTTTTTAAGGGGGGGGGGGGGGGGATGGGAGGGCACATTTCTTCAGATTTCTTCAGAATCAAACAAACTTCCCAATATCCGTCAAAAGTCAGATGAAAGAAATTTGTTATCAAACAGAACTTGGATTAGTGCTGCCCTTTATAAATATACTGAAAAGGTTGACAAATTTGGTCACAAATCAAACACATAACTGTCATTTGAGTGTAAAATCAAGTTCTTATTACACAGACAATACAAAGAACAAATACATTAAAACATTTAAACGTATCAAAGAACTACAAACATGATAAGGACAGGGTTGATTGTTAAAAAAAAGGATATTGTCTGTCTTCATCTCTGTCATCGTCGATTGGTTCTCTCTTGATTTTCTTCTCTTTGGCAGGTTTGTCCCGGACATCAGACTCTCTCCTTGATGCCTTCTCTTCCTTTATCATTTCACGTTCTCGCTCTCTCTCATCCTAAGTTATGATAACAATAATGATAATAATAATCTGGATTTGTATAGCGCTAAAAGGCATCGTTTAACAATGTTAAATCTGACATGCATGGCCCTATCTGTTATGTGTCTGTGATATGGTGTAATATTGAAACCCTTAAAAAAATAGTGCTTCAAAATTATCACAAAGTGCCTCAAAAAAGTAAAATTCTTTGAGTGACCGGTTTTAACATACTCATCTCCCCACATAGACTGTAGTGTTATAAAAAACGACAGGAAAACGAATTTCAATTTCCAATCATAAGTGTCTTGATAATCTGACAGGCGATCAGGTTGTAAAAGTAATGGGGTTCCTGACTGACCTAAAGGTTTATAATTATCATTACAGCATTAGCTAAATCCAGGATTTTGTTTCGAAATCCGAGACAAAGTTACTCAATCCCTTTAATATGAAATACTGTCTCGGTAATTTACAGATCTTTTCACCAGTCACCGGATTCATTCACACACAATGTGCACCATCTCTACTTCCTGGGGAGTATTCCTACCACATGGTCACCGTGAGGGCATATGGCAATTACCAACACCTATGCATTTGTTATCCTACCAGGCCTCCATTTCTCTTCCGGGTATGGAGTGGCAAATGTAGATTAATGCCTTGCCAAAGGATTGGTACACTTTATAATTATACATTTGTGTATTTTTTTTCAAACAAGATCATGGCATTTCTGTAAACTTGTTATATAATGTCGAAAGACAACCACAGCTTTAGCCATCAAAGGGTTGTTGCCAGAGTTTCCTGTCACCAAAGCGTGTAACTAATGGTATATGTACGTGCGTATAAAACTCACAACTTTGCCTTTTGTGACCACAAGACAAAGTTCTCATATAAAATATACAGCATGAATAGAAGCTGGATAAAAGCAAAGCCGAGCAATACACAGCTCTTTTCTGTTGTCTTAACAAGGCAGGGAGCATGTAACTATACAATAGACAGGTTATTATGTACATGTGTACATGGTGTATTGAAGTGAATAAGTATACGGTATATAAAATTCTACAACCTTTTGATTTCAGTCGTTAGACTTTTTGGCATGTTTTCACCCTGCTTATGTGCTCTATTTCATTAATATTTGTTACTGCACATCAATTATTTTAGGAGGTATTTTAGGGTGAGGTCAATAGCCAGGTCCTTGGCGTATCAAGAGAGATAGTTGTGTCTTGTACGTGACATGTCAAAGGTCAATCAAAGGTTAATTCATGTTTACTCACCATCCTCTCTCCGTTCAGGCTACTGCTTGAGCTAGCACCATCACCTAATGATGACCTCTTGCCACTTTTACCCTCATGACCTGAGACAATAAAACACACACACACCTTTAGGGTTGGCATAATATCCACAATGGAATGACAGAAAACCATCTAGATGATAAGGATTATTTAAATACACCTACAAACAGGATGATGATGGTTTACAAACATGATCATGGCATTTCTGAAGACTTGTTAGGTAATGTAGAAAGACAGCCACTGCTTTAGTTGGCAACTAGTTCTAATTCAAGTTCAAGTTCAAGTTTTATTTATCTTTCTTTCATAAGACACATTACAAATATGACATGAGTTTAACAATTTAACAGAATATGGCGTTACAATAGAAAGATGAGGTGACCTTGGTTGAAGGCAAGGCTTGTGGATTTAAGGTCCCCCATTAGCAGCTTCTGAGTATGTCCTAAAAGAACAAACTCGTCGGATAAGAATAATGCTATGAGTTGTATTCTGAAAACTATGTTCCCATCACCAAGATGAACATCTTCATTGATGCAGACAGTGCATTCACATCGTGGCTTTAGGGGGACTTTGTTTACAGCTGTACTTCCCAATGTGCGGGCATTAATCAAGAACCCATGGAAGTCAAATGTGGTGCAAACAAAGTTCTCAGCAACAGGGAACGAAACAGAATTTTCACAATATTACCCATCTTTTCCCCAAAAAATAATCCCTTACCTGAATCACTGACTTTATGTCTCTTTGATTCGACATCACCGGCCGAGTGATCCCTCTTCTTCTCACTCTTCTTTTCTTTGTCTCTACTCCTTTCTCGTTCTGCTTCAGGGGCTTCAAGAACCTCCCTCTCTCTGTGACTCTCCTTGCTCTGAAAAGATAACGGCAGGGAGGCAGTCAATATTAGGAGGGTCAAATCTGACTGACATGAGCGCTATACAAGAACCCACTATTATTATTATTATCATCTTCATGGTAGGTTCACAAAAATAAACAGATCAAACTGGGCTGACAGTTGACAGTTTCCATGTGCTTACCATTATTCGCTAACACCAGACTTGGTGGAAATACCATTAAAGGGATCGCTTAACAATGTTAAATCTGAGATGCACGGCCCTACGTGTTATCAGTGTCTGTGATATGGTGTTAATATATTGAAGCCCTAAAAAAAATGTGCTTCAAAATGATTAAGAAGTGCCTCAAAAAAGTAAAAACCTTTGAATGACCAGTTTTACCATACTCGTTTTCCCCAATAGACTGTTGTGTTATGAAAACCATTTGGCAAACGTAAAATTCGATTTCAATTTTCAATCATAAATATCTTGATAATCAGACAGGCGATTGGCTTGTAGAAGTCATGGGGCTCCTGACTGACCTAAAGGTTTATAATTATCATTGCAGCATGAGCTACATCAAGGACTTTTTTAAAGGATCTAAGACAAAGTTACCGGATCCCTTTAATGGGTGTTCAAGCCTCGCACACAGCAAACCCGAGGTTCAATCAAGAATACCCCCCAAGTCTTTCTGAGTCTCTGGGTAAGGGAAATGCAATACAACGACTTTTCCATACGGGGCGATTGGTGGAAAATGCAGAGCATTACATTAGGTCTGTTGGTCATGGGCATGGTGGCTCAGTGGTTAGAGCGTCCGCCTCATGAACGGGAGGTCGTGGGTTCGAACCCGGCCGAGTCATACCAAAGACTTATAACAATGGGACCTCCTGCCTTCTAGCTAGGAGCTCAGCATATTAGATTGGAGAAGGGTAGTAATTATATATTTATGTTATGCAGGGTCCGCTGGAAGAGCAGTTTCATAACTGAAGTGGCTACCCTGGGTAAATAAAACATTATTATTATTATTATTATTATTATTATTATTGTCATAAAACTGAAAGCTAATCCCAGTGATTGGCAACACCAGTTATTGGGTAAATGTCTGAATGGTGTAGAGTTCCCAATGAAATCCCACTGCTATGCGTCTTTAATCTACTGGTGTCTGAATTGACTCTTGTTCATGAACACAGTATGGTTTATGTACAAACAACACACAAATTATATGTATCTTTAATGAAACTTCACCATTGTGGATAATTTAGAAAGATTTCATAAGGTAATCAGTAGAAAAATTGCGTAAATTCATCCTCTGTGGTGCCACATCAGATAAAATCACCTTTAGTTCATCTGCATCTAAAATATGAGGATGACAGGATAATCCAAAGTAATAAAGAGGGCTATTAATCGCCCACCCCCCCCCCCCCCCTAAAACATGCGTACAACATGCAAGTTATAAAAATGTTAGAAAATAAGTTAAATTACATTGATTCTTCTCATTCAGCATATTCCGTTTAAAGGGAAGTTTTTTTTCTCGTTTGGGGGATGTATAATGCAAGGCAAAATGACTGGTGATGCACTCCAATACTGAAGCAGCACAGTGTGAGTAATATCAGCATTCTTTGTTGGGAGAGACTTATCTCACCTTACTTCTCCTGTGTTTGCCTGAGGATGTCTCCCTTGCTAGGTCAGGAGAGCTCGAGCTTGACACCTGTGATAGAGTGCAGTGTGTATCATGAAGGTTAAAAGCACAGCAACCCAAGTCATCATACATGCTCCAAATTGAACTGTTTAGTGATTTATTAGTGGAACAGGATGCCAAATTCCGGACATTAACCATGTGCTTGTACAACAGCAAAGAGCTAGATTCGGCATTTCAAACTTGTCATGCAAACCTTCAAAAGAAACCTTAAAACATGATTTTCCCAAAAAAATTTAATGTGATTAAACTCCATCAACATCATGCATTTTGCTAAATTTCCTTTCGATATCCAGTCTGGGATTATCAATTTCTATAACATTTCTACAGAAGGAAAAAAATACCAAAAAAGATCTTGTAATTTTTTCTCATCACGTCTTCATTCATGAAAGTATATTTCCATCTAGGTAAAGCAATACAACCCCCCCCCCCCCAGCCCCAAGGTATTTATGAAGTCAAAAGTTAGTAGAACCAGTTAGATACAATACACCTCAATTTAGTGATACATGATATGCTAGAAGTGTGAAAACATCTGATATGTGTAAGGACAGGCATACTCACAATTACAGAGGCTGTATCCACTTTTCTCCTCTTGTGTTCCACTGAAAAATGACAAAGAAAAAAAGAACATTGCTTATTATCCGATTCTCTTTTAACATTAAAAATACAAGCCTAGGATATTTTGTACTGCAGGTTACACAGATGGAGAAGGGTGTCTTCTCCCCCCCCCCCCCCTCCCTCCAGCCCCCGTTTGGGGCATGTGAACACAGAAATTTACTAAACTTGGTAGGTATGCAACACTTTAACTAATGAATTTAAGCTTATCATGTTTCATATAAAGATCTCACACAGTTTTCAAGTCATCGCTTATCAATCTGTCAAATATATAAGTAGTCTGCATTGAATGTGTGCAATACATATGAGGATACATGTATGATGTGATGTATTTATTTACTGAAAGACGATTTTCAAAAAAAACTCTGCACTTTCCCGTTGACTACTCAAAACTCTCATTCCCATACCTTTAACTACCGAATCACCCTAGGTTTAAGACATTACACCAAAATAACCCAGCCTTTTTAGGGATAAGATATAAACCACCCTGTTCTCATAGGGGCCCTGTTTCACTTTTATGTGCTGCCCTTTATTCTGACCTCTATCTGAAGAGCTGGTTGCTGGAGATTCCTTCCTGGAGGATGACCCTACCGATCCCTGGCTGGAGTTCGATGCAACACTCTCCTCTCTCTGGGATCGCTCTTTGGATGACCTGTGACCCCCGTCTCCACCACGCTCCTCCTTCTCCTTGGCCTTGTTGTCACGATGGGAGGACTTCTTCTCCACCTTACGCACCCTCTCCCCTTCCTCTGCCCAGCTGTCTAGCTCTGACGACGGAGCTCCGCCCCAGTGATCGCCGCTGTAGTTCTTGTGCTCCTTGCTGCTGGAGGCTGTGTGTGGTTCAACAATACAAGACTTTGATAAATCTATGCTGGGGCCTCTTACATAATAGGTAGAATCAGAAAGAGGCCAATTATACGGAAAATAGTTATCCAGATTATAATTATCCACTTAATTGGCTGTCTGTCATCAATTATCCCTTTAAAAATTCCTTAAAAAATCCTGTAACGAAACAAGAAAATTCTCCCTTGAAAAGATTTTTCACAGGATTTTTCTGTCTGACACCGATGTTGAAATAATTCCTTTAAATGTTTTTTAACGCAGCGCTATCATAACCTGCGCACAATTATATTAGCGTGCATTTAATGAGACGCATTAATTGCGCATTACTTTTGATTGAACGTGCGATGTCACAATGCTTATCTTCCTAAATGGCGCATGCGCAATGGCCCATCAACAATCTAGATAATAGTTATCCGGATTATTCATAGCCTGTCTGTCACCGACGTAAATGAATAATCTAGTTTATTCAAGATGGGTCGGGATTTTCCGTCTGACACCGCCTAATAATTGCCATTAAACTCTCACTCTTTGCAATAAGTTGGCAGCTCTGCTAAGACTCCACCTGGACAACAGGAAGCTTGAAGGCACTGCTTTTTATTGATTTGTAGGGAAAATATTGACATCTTGGATTCATCACCTACAAAAACGTTGTTCAAAGCTGATGTTCAGACATATCTTATTTAACATGATATCATTGTGCGAGGTGTGTCAATTTTTTTATTTTTTTATTGTTTGGGAATGCTGCTGAGACAGGGAAGAAAAATTCTGACATAATTCTTGACATAATTGTGGTGATTAAATCTTTTTCCAGTAAAATGTATCAGTGTAATGTGACAAGTGAATTCAACATCAGCACTTCACATTAAAAACTTTCAATTAAAATGAAGTTCATTCTTGGCAATTCCTTCTTGTATTTGACACATTTTGAAGGACAATACTCACCTTTGCCATCTTCTCTGTGGGGCTTCTCACTGCTCCCTGACCTCTTGCCCTCTGATGACCTTTGAACTTTGCCTTCCTTGACAGTCTTGTCTTCCTTCACCACTCTGTGCTCTTTGGAAACCTTCTCGTCCTTGGACCTATTAATGCTGCCCTCCTTGTGGTCCTCTTTATCTCTCTTGGATTTACTGCTTTCATTGGAAGATCTTTTCAAACAAACAAACAAACAAATTACTACAATGATGACGGCTACATTTATAGAAAAGGGATGTTCATGGGGCCTTCAAAGTACTGTAATTCCCCTCACTTTAGCCAAGCAGCCCTAAGGCACTAAAAACATTCAAGGAACAAATTCAAACCAGGTACCAATTTACTACACCTGGGTGGAGAGTGGCAAATGTAAACGTATATCAATGTGTTGCTGTTGCCAAAGGACAACCAGTGTGTTGGCTCAGTCAGTAGAGCGTCCGCCTCACAACCGGGAAGTCTAAGTTCGAACCCCAGCCGCGTCACACCAAAAGACGTTAAAAGACGGGAGTTGCTGCTACCTTGTTTGGCGTCCAACAATAAGAAATAGAGCAACGTCGATCTGGCGCTGCTCAGTGGCTGTCGGGCTTACGATCAATAGGGTAAAAAGAATTTCCAATTTCGGTTTAACTATTCGTGCCAAGGCAGGACTCAAACTACGAACCATGTGATCCACCGTCCGGTGAGGTATCAATCCACTAGACCACAATACCTCTACAAGCAAACAAATAGAAATCAAACTGAGCCATATAAGATAAATGGTGAATCTTAGCTAGACTCTCTAACCTATTGCCATCACTTGAAAATCTCTACAAACAAACAGATATCAGACTCAGGCACAAATGATAGTGAGTCCCCTTGGCACATACTGTATAGAGAAAGGAAAGTTCAAAGCAGTTTGTAGAATAGGAGCTGTCGCATGTATATAATCATCCTGTGAGGCATGGAAAGTGACTAAGATTCCACTCTCCTTGGAATTAATATCACTGCTAACTACTTTGCTTGTATTTTCATTTATTTCATTTCACTCATATACTGTATTTGCCGGCGTAAAGGCCGCAGTATTTTCGGAAGAGAAAATATCAAAAAGTCTGGGTGTGGCCAATGCGCCACAAGAGTTTTTAAAAAATATTTCAAAAAATCGCAAGTCAAAACCATGAAAACAGCACAAATTTGTACAAATGGGAGTACAATGAATGGTACTGGACATTTCTAGAATAACTGTCTACAATAACACATGTCTTTACATGAAGTTTGTCAATCTCGTGAATAAACTTAATAACTTAACAACCAAAAGTTTTGGTAGATCTAGATCTAAGTTCGTACCATCGCCAAAGCAACCTCAATTCTCCCAGCCCGTGCGCGCCAAGCTATGGCGCAATACACGATCGACTGTGTAACTGTGGCCGAACAGAAAGCTGAAGTAAGACGGCATCTTTTCTTTTGTGTGTCTATGAAATGTCAAATCGGGGGTGCGGCCTATAATGCGCTGCGGCATTAACGCCGGCAAATACGGTAGTCCTATTCTGTCTGAAACTTCTTTACCCTGCCACTCTGAAAGTTGCCTGCAAAAGTATCCCAGAAAAATATCGATCAGTGCAAACAAAAACGAACACACAGACAATATGTAGTTAATTCTTCATTAATTGATCACTCACTTGGAATCTGATTTTTTGGTCCCTGATGACGAGCTGGCACCGACATTGGATGAAGAGGCTGAAGCCTTTGATGATGAATTACTGCTGGACTTGGATGATGACGATGACTTGCCCTGCACTTGCGACGATGACTTCACCGAGGACTTCGATGTAGATGATGACTTTGCTGACGACGAGTCTCGGTTGGACGACTTACTGCTCGCTCCATGAACCTTCTCATTATCTGCATCTATTGATAATAATAATAAATCATATTGGATTCTTATATAGCGCACGTATCGTCCTTGCAAGGTCCTCAAGGCGATCCAACATTACCCGGCTATGCTAGGCTGCCGATTTCGACGCTCACAGCATTTAAGGAATTCCTTCCTACCGGTACCCATATAACACCTGGGTGGAGAGTGGCAAATGTAGATCAATGTCTTGCCAAAGGACATAGTAAAGACATCATCATTTTGATGAAAAGTAGGCATTATTGGTTTGCTTGGTCCATTTCCTTTTCTAAACAATCGCTTATTTTTCTTTGCGTGTACAATGCACGGATGCAATGAGTGTGCATTTGATCACAAGTGAGTAAGCTTTAAAGGCGCGTATTAAATTATTTACAATACACATTCCGTTGATCAAATGTATTTTGATGGGTATATCATGTCATCATCATCATCTATTAACGTCAGCACTATCCCTCTTACAGGGGGTTACTGACTTCCGTGCCTTGATGACACTCCCTCCCTGCACTTCTTCTCGTCTCGAGCATCTCCTTCATTTAGACCAACCGTACTGCTTTTTTAAGACATACAGAATGCCCTAATTTTATTGACCAACATGCATGTCAGATACATTATATAAAATAAACATGGCTGCCTTCACTCCTATACAGTGTGTCCCAGAAAAAACAAAACTGAGAATTGTCGATGTTTTATCATTACTTAGTCACATTTATTATTGATAAATGACACATATTTGGAAAGCTTAGATCCTCTTCTTTCATTTGATGCAACTCATACATGTATAATGTATATTTCACACATGAGAGATTAAAATGAATTTGAAGTTGTTGTTTAGAGTATACATGTGACATAAAGCTGTATGTGTGACAATTTATTGTTTGTTCCATTAACCCTTATTCAGGTAAGACACAACAAAACCGCAGTGGTTTTTTATGATGATGTACAGAGCAATATGCTTCACATATCTCTATCTTATAACAAAGAGCTTTGGGATTACGCGCAGTAGCCATTCACTTACAAGTGAAAATAAACCGCAGCGTTTCTTTGGTGGCGGTTTATTGTGTCATGTCTGTATGAGCCTTTCGTCAACATAAGCAGGCATTGTGTGCGGGCAAGCACTGAATCCAATGACCGGGGTAATAGTATATTTTTAAAGCGCTTTGAGACATTTGTATTAAGCGCTATATAAAAATTAAATATTATTATTATTATTATTAAAGAGTTTTACACTAAGAATGGCCTGTAAGACTGTGCAGGAGACAAACCTTTGCTATGGTTTTCCTTGCCTACACCGTTGACGGTAGCATTACTGGTGCTGCTGACTGAAGTTGAGCTGCTAGAGGGTGTGGTCTTCTTACTCGTCGACTCTGAGGACTGAGAGGTGGCCTGAGGGGCGGGGGCAGGCTTCTGACAAAGGATATCAAATCAAAGGTTAGGAGATACAGTAACAGAACTTGAACATATCGTCGTATTACCTGTATAACAAGACTTTCTCCCGGGAGACACAAATATGGTCTTAGTAAAGCAGGTGATCTTCACATACACATAACTTTAATATAGGTTTGCAGGAAAAATACCCTATTAACAGTTGGTCTTGCATTAAAATGGAAGATTCAGCCAATTTGAAGTGCCCATACGTCTGATTTTGATTTAACTTTTCACCTATCTGCTTATCTGATTTTTCTGCTTTCTTTGTTAAGGTAAGATTCCCCATAATCCTTGTAAAAGTGTTTTTTACTTCTTGATATTTCTCTCTCCATTGTGCCCCTGAATACTTTACATTTTTCTTCATTAGGAAAACTTCAGATTAGATGGTCACACTATCTGAAAATGCAACAATTCCACGCTATTCATATGAGCAGCATGCTATTCAAATAGCCAAGTGATATTGAAGCTCAGATACATTGTACATTAAACTGTTCTGAAAATGACTTTGTGTGTACTCACATCCTTGTAATGAAACTTGTCTTCAGGGATCATGTGCTGTTTCCTTGCTTTGAGTTGACCAGAGTAACTAGAAAATGTTAAAAGGAGAGGGTCGTCAGTTTCCACGTGCAGAAGGTCCTAGTTGTTCGCTGGCACGAGGCTTGGTGGAAATACCATTAATGGGAGTACAAGTCTGGACACAGCAACTTGTAGTCCCATCAAGAAACACCAAATACTCTCTTGGAGAATCTTTAGGCGATGCAAATGTCAGATAATGACTTTACCATATGGGGGAATGGGTGGAAAATGCCTGTTGGTCATAAAACTGAAGGCTAAACCTTTTGAATGACAACACCTGTTTACTGGGTAAACACCATAATGGTGTCAAATTCCCCATGAGAACCCGCTACTATGTGTTTTTTAATCATTATGATTTAATCATCTCTAAAATGTGGACACCAAAGATTGATTACACGTCATTTAATCAATGTTCATTTCAAATAATAACATTATCAAAATCTTCCAGAAGCATATCGATTCTGTGATCTGTTGTTATTCTTCAGCCACATGGGTCATTTCAAAACAACAAGGAATGTCAAATGGGTAAGATCAGCTACCTGAAGCTCAGGCCTTAAAGTGGGACTGCACTACTTGTAGCTACTTGCGCGCTCTATATAGCAAACAATGCCTAAGCGGTACCCGTTGGTCCCCCATGATCCCCTTTTTCTTATGTCAAGTGAGAGCTGATTTGATGACATAACCACCTGTCAGCGACCACGCATGGAGGTCTAATCCCTCTTGGCCAAACTAGTGCAGACAGGCTTATAACAAAAAATGTTTAATGTAACTTGTACATAACATAATGCTGTGACATCGAATACACTGACCAAGGTCACTAGAATAAAAAAGAATGGGGTACATCAGGACTCGGTTGATTATGCAATGGGCTTAAAGATGAAGTTGAGTTCTGGCCATGCAATTGCATTGTGAAAGAAACGGTGTGGAATCGACCAGAAAAGGTTGATCATCTAGCATATAAGAATTTGTGTGTATTGCAAGGTTCTGGAATCATCAAAATGATAAGAAATTTGGCCAAGTCTTGGTGAAGTTACAAACACTGTACACAGAAAGATGTATATGGGACTACACGAAGACACGTGACGTAAAAATCCTACCCAGATTTTTACGATGTTAAATGACATATTTAGAATATGAAGGCATTTGAAGAGCCATGCTTTTCAGGGAACATGTCTTATCTGATGTTCTTCCACACTTGCACAATAAGAACGATGACGCTCACAAATTATTTTTCACCTCTTCCCAGAACTCAACCTTCTCTTTAAAGATGTGTGAATTGCATTAAGCTAGTACTTCCATTGTAGAAAAGTTGTTGCTGCTACTGCTGTTGTTTTCATTGTCCTTAGTTTTATCAGGTACTAATAGGCCATTTTTGTAATGTATCTAAATGTAATGCATTGATCTTTTTGAAGTGCCTCGAAATGAATAGTCAATAGTCAGAATCCAAATTACATACAATAGTTGCTGCTAGGTAGGACAAACAGTATGGCTCACCCTACCTAACAACACGTAATATATGCAATTTGCATTTGGAATATTGAAATACAATTATTACTGACAGATACATGATGACATAATTCGTATCAGGCATTTTACAAAGGCATATGCATTACATTTGGTCACATTAATAAAACGGTTTATTGCTAGTCTTCAGTATACCTGTTATAAACATTACACCCTATAATTAATTCTGACATTTGTTCTTTGGGGGGGGGGGGGGCTGAGTGCTACCTACCCCATGGCTAAGGCATAGATGTCAGGCCTCTTTTCCTTCTCCTCGGTTCTGATCTTATCCACTCTCTTCTCAAGAACCTGACCAAGGTTCTGCACCAGCGGGAAGTATTGCAAGATCTGACAACAACAAAAAAAGAAGAAGATTGATACGGTTTCAAAGTTTGTTTGAATAGTCTAAGTGATGACAAAGCAAAATAAGAAATGATGTATTGCAATATTTACTGGAGATTCTGCACCAGCGGGAAGTATTGCAGGATCTGACCCAAGGAAAAAGATTGATACAGTTTCAAACTGTGCTAGAATAGTCAAAGTGATGACATAGCAAAATGTATTGCAATATTTACTGAAAATGATGTAGGTTAACGGTTGTCAGTCTCTCACGAAGCAACACATTTGGCATGATTTATTAACTTAGGCTTTGATGAATTGTTTGCTTTCTGCTTTCCTATTCACTCATGCATTGCTTTACATTTTGGTATCAATACACATATAGATAAGTGAGCAAGTTAAGAGCCATTGTTACACAGAGCTACATTCTAAAACCCTAACATGCTGTCTCTTGTCATTCATTTGCACATACTTGTGGCAGTTTTTACAGGGAGTTTTCCGTGTCATATCTGAATCGTTAAGTCAAGGTGTCATGGTAAAGTGGTTCATTCTCTTGACTCTCCATCCAAGGGTTGAGGATTCGAATCCCAGCCTGGCACTTATGCATTTGGCAGGACATTAATCCACATTTACCACTCTCCACCCAGGTGTAAATGGGTACCTGGCAATTGCTGGGTTAGCAATAATGCAAGGGCCCTCAGGAGGACTCTCTTGAGTAAACAATTTCATTTTATCTTTATTGTTCTCATAAATGATGGTATGATTAAGACCTAGTGAGAGAAGTGACATTTATATCCATGTCAACAAAGAAATCTGGGTTATAGTACATGCGATAGACTGGAAACGTGATGGTTTTCTTACCTTGGTTAGAAGTATGAGTGTGTTCCTGATTTGAGTGTACTCCTTTGACTCTAGACAAGCAACCACCGCCTGTAAATCATAATAAAAATAATAATAATACTCAGTTTTTATATAGCGCTTGTTACAATCACTAAGCCCTTCCAAACTTGGAGATTATTACCCCGGCTTTAGCTGTGCCGCCATTACAGCGCTCTAGCATTTCAAGGAATTAATTCCTGGCAGGTACCCATTTACATCACCTGGGTTGAGTGTGGCACATGTAGATCAATGTCTTGCCAAAGGACATTAGTGCCGCGGCGGGTCTCGAACTGTAAGCAGTCAATATTTGTTTTATATACAATGTGATGGACATGTGCGCTATATAAGAAGCCACCATTATTATTATTATTATATCGCATCCGTAGTGTCCATTGTCAAAAAGAGATATTTTTACCAAATATGCCTGTCAAAACGGATTTCTGTGTAGGAGTCTAGGTAAATTTACCTGTGCGTCAGTCTCACTGCGCATATCCATTGTTAACTTCAAGTGCAATCGATGCATCCTACGGGCAATTAGAACTATGCCCTGTCAATATTGTTTTGCTATTCTGCCCAGCAGTTAGTAGCCTTAGCTGCAGTTTCCACCAATAAGAGGCCTACAATTTTCATCATATGCGGTCTATAATACAATGTATAGGATTCTAAGCAGTATTTCTTCTCCTTAAAACCGAAAAGGTATTAATTCATATTCTTTGGATCTAACAAGACAATTTAACCTTTAGAAAGAGCAAATCTAAGATGTTCATGCATTAAAATATAGCGAAATATGATACTTAAAGGCCCACTGCACTACTTGTAGCTACTTGCGCCCTCTATATAACAAACAATGCCTAATCGGTGACCATTGGTCCCCCATGATCCTCTTTTTCTAATGTTAACTGAGAGCTGAGTTGATGAAATAACCACCTGTCCAGTGACCTTGCAGGGCGGTCTAATCCCTCCTGTAAACTACGGCAGATAAGCTTTAAGCTATTTCTCAATCTTTCTGATGTATTGTAAGTATACGTGATTCTGTTGTCATCACATTTCAAGAGACAGACTAATGCCACATATAAATGCTTCTGGGTTCAATAGAACAGAATATACGAGGAGATGAAAACAAACTTTCCGAAATGATGTTATATTTCACCGAGGCTGCAGGCCAAGGTACAGCTAAGAAAGCTCTCTTCAGCTTCATTCAAAATTCATTTACCTTGGTAAGCTTGTACTGCCACTTATGACAGACATGGCGAAAGTTTTCATAGTCCAACTGGTCAGCCTTGTTGCTGGACTCTGTACCGCTAGCTCTCAGCACTGTCACGAAACCGGGAAAGTTGCCGCATTCCTAGGGGAAGAACGAAGAATGACCAGGGATGAAAACAGTGGGCTCAGTATAGATTATATACACTTTATCTCAAGTGATGATAGGCTAAAAAGGGACACATGAAAACACACTGTACGAAAGCAACATAGACATTCGATGTTAGCGTATGAAAGCCTCCTGTTAGTAGTTAGGAATGTGAAATGACTGCTGATCACAATAGAGGAAAACAAACAACACAATCAATAAGATAAATAAGTGTGTAACAAAAGCCAATACGGGCCAATTAATATATCAATAAGTTATGTGTGTAAATTCTATTCAATTTCGCATCCTCATTCAGTGTATATGTTTAATTATAATTCCATACATAATGCATTCATTTCATTCATTACTTCACACCAGAAAAAAAATCATGAATAAAGTATGAATAATATCCCCTTCCATGAAAAGTTATTTTGCTGTAACAGGAGGACAGAGAGCAGATATTTCTATGCTTAAATATGCACATTAAACGCATCAACTGAAAGCCTGAAATCTAACCTTCTCATATGTTTCTTTATCCCCATGCCATTTCATCACAGTTTCCATCATTGCACAAAGGAACCTGCCGTAGCGAATGGCTTCGTTCTCCGTACAGCTGGCTACTGTGTAGGTGATATCTTGAAATACCTGTTTGGATATGATATGATGAAGAAAAAGAGAGAAAGAAAAAAAAAAGACAAATATTGAAATGGAGGATAAAGAAAATTGATGAAAAGAAGTCAGCAAAGAAAGAGAAAAGAAGGAAAAGCAATCCTAAGTTTTTCAAAGATGAAACAACTCTCACAGAATCAAATAACAAAATAAATTCAATGTTTTAACTACAATTATGCAATACAAGCCAAAGATACAGGCATGCAGAAGAAAATGTAAGATAGTTGAGTAACGAGCTACGAAAGATGAAAAGTTGGAATTTGTCAGTACCACAGAAGAATTGACTGCACCTTTGTGGTTGCTTTATTGTGTATGTCATTCTGAGGTAATTTAATCCATCTTGCTGGTCCAAGTAACTCTTTGTATGAGTATTATATCTACTATTTACAATATACCATGGACTATTATTTTCTACATTGTCTTTTCACAATATGATTATTCTATAGATAAATGATACAATGATACAATTCATTACATTTCCGAAGTTATCTATGGAAGAGGAATATTATCTACAACGGTGAATATACTTACCCTATCATAGCACAAGAGGGTGGAGAAGTTGGGCGTCTTTAGCTTGTGGACAGTGAGGACAAACTTTGCACAGTAGAGGGCGTCGCTGGCCGAGAAGCAGCAGCGTGGGAAGACGCAGAGCTGCAGGAACTGGGTGATGGTCTCATTCTTGGTCGAACCTGGGATGTTTAGAATGAAATGTTTAGAGGGTTTGAAATGTGTAGATTCGCTGAATATGAACACAAATATTCACTGGTAGTATTGCAATACTGCAGTAATGAAAATTGAATAGAAAAAAAATGTGTAGATTCGCTGAATATGGACACAAATACTCACTGGTAGCATTGCAATACTGCAGTGATGAAAATTGAATTTAAAAAAAAATGGGTAGATTCGCTGGATACGAACACTAATATTTACTGGTACATGTAGCATTGCAACACAGCAGTAATGAAAATTGAATAGAAAAAAAATGGGTAGATTCGCTGAATATGAACACAAATATTTATTGGTAGCACTGCAAGACTGCAGTAGTGAAAATTGAATAGAAAAAAATGGGCAGATTCGCTGAATATTAAAGATGAAGTTGAGTTCTGGTCATGCGATTGCATTGTGAAAGAAACGGTGTGAAATCGACCAGAAAAGGTTGATCATCTAGCATATAAGAATTTGTGTGTATTGCAAGGTTCTGGAATCATCAAAATGATAAGAAATTTGGCCAAGTCTTGGTAAAGTTACAAACACTGTACACAGAAAGATGTATATGGGAATACACAAACACGTGGCGTAAAAAACCTACCCCCCAAGTTTTACGAGTTACATGACATATTTAAAATATAACGGCATTTGAAGAGCCATGCTTTTTAGGGAACATGTCTTATCTGATGTTCTTCCACACTTGCATAATAAGAATGATAACGCTCACAAATTATTTTTCACCTCTTCCCAGAACTCAACCTTCTCTTTAACACAAATACTCACTGGTAGCATTACAAGACTGTGGTATTGAAAATCTAATGGAGAACATTTGAATCATGATTTGTATCACCAATCGAACTTCCAAAAGATTCATAGTTCATTCAAATGTTGTCTACAAACATAAGTAGGGGACAGAGTTGAATCCACTTCCCTTTGTATCTTTCTCCAACGTTTCAACACTATATTTATCCTGTGCCCTAAGCTGATCCGAAATTTGTACTAGAGACAATTGCCTCAAGCTTTGTTAATCAAAGGTATACAAACAGAGAGGTTCGAAATTGGGGGGATCCATTTCCCTATGTTTGTTTCTCCAATGTTACAACAAATTCATCCTGTGCCCTAAGCTGAGCTGACATTTGCACTGAAACTGTCAGCACTGAAACAAACAGAGAGGTCCCTGTATTAAGCCTATAGGAATGAGAGAATTCCTTAATCAATGGTCTTAAGTGTACCCATCACCACATAGCACTTTGCTTTGTATGTTAGGGGTTCATTGTCACCATGCTTTATTCAACCATCGTATGATCTTCAAATAATACTTCTATTAAAAAGATATTGCCAATTTGGATACACTCTCAAATTGAGACACTCTCCACTTGTGAGTGGACTTCTAAATGCACCTGCAGGCTCTCGCATGTTTGCTTATAGGTTGATTTTATACATTCTAGCTATACACAAATATTTCTGTTAGGTAATTGGAACACTTTAAGCCCCACAGAATGCGGGGATTTTTTCTTGTTAAAGGTTGATTTTGTAAATTCTAGCTGTACAGGAATTATTTATTCAGCTGGTAGGCTGGCTTACGTGCAGTGAACCATGTCTCACACTCCTTCTTGAGACGAGCTTCTATCCTCTGGCAATGCTCCTGTTGCTTTCTCTCTTCATCCTTGAGTCGATCGATGATGATTGCAAATCTCTCCTTCTCCTTCTTCCTTTTTGCCGAGGCCTACGTGGAGAGAAAATGGAAACACATTTCAAGATACGACATAGTCCAAGTATGAGTAGTAGTTGTGGTGTATTGAAAAATTCATTTTCAGCATGCTTGCAAAAGTGTAGACTTCTGTTCAGAGTAAACCATCATAAATGCTTACACATACCGACAAAGCAATGATGTAATTAATGCATCATTTGATAGAAATAGTTAAAGATGCAATGGCACTGAGAATTTTGTCTCATCCACTCACTTCAAACAATGAAATAGTATTGTCTTAATATCTGAAAGTAGAAATTTGACAGCATCATAAAAGTGATAAAGCTGTGATGTGTTTCCACAGGTTACGTATCTGTGCCATTCTTTATAAGTGTTGTGTTGTACAATGTACTGGAAAAAAAAGAAGATATCTATTTGCTAACGAGGAACATAGTTGTGTATCGTTGTGTTCTCCAAACAAAGTGCGTGAACAGAGACACAACCAGCTGATGTACATTTCTAGAAAAAATGCATTCTTATGTGTTGACCTTTTTTAGACTGCCTCTACAAAACATGTTTCACTCGGTGTAAACTGATGTTCTCTGTATACAAATTTCTGTACCCTTTCATTGTTTTGTGTTTTCCAAGTCTTCGTACACAAAATTTGAAACAATTTAATTTTTTTGGGGGGGATCCCCCCATTTCCTCAGAAATTAATAATTTCTTGTAATCATTTTATTAAATGCAAAGTGTATTTGTATAGTTACCAAGAAAAAATGAATTATGTATGAAAAAAAATGTAATACCTTTGTTTATCCTTCTGTTGGAAATGAAATAAATATGAATCGAATTGAATTGAATTGAATTGAATTACAAGACTATACAACTGAAATATCTGACCAAAATCTGTGGAGACACCCTTCTACCTAACACATAGGATTTTGGGCATTGGTCAATTTACTAGCAGATAGATACATCATTTATAAATGTAGGACTATGAACTGAACTCTCACCATTTCTTTGTTGTCATCTACAGTTGCCATGGTCACCTTGATCTTGTTGATCTCCTTCTCATAGCTTGGACTGGGAACATGCAGGTCGTACATGGACAGCGTCCAGAAGCTTGCATAGAATTGCGGGCTGTATGGAAATCATCAACATGTTATTGTGAATCTTTTTTTTTTCCATAACAAATAACACTTGTTTTAATGGGTATGCATTCATACAGTTCTACAAAATTCACAGTGCATGATTTCTCCTTGATAATTCAATTCAATTTTTTTAAAGGCAAACATTATAAATGACATTTACATCACATTAAATGGTATGTGTCCATTGGGGCGTTGCAAGAAAGTTGGGTTGATCAATTGCAACTCAACTTTCTTGCAACGCCCCACTTGTTTCCTAAATTTCCTAGGATTTTGTTAGGATCAAGGTTTTAACAATTAAATTAAGTTAACTAGATCTAGTTTTTATTCTACCCCCCCCCCCCTTTCTCTCTCTCTCTTACTAATGGGGCGTTGCAAGAAAGTTGAGTTGCGGTCAATTGCAAATTTGCAATTAATCACAAGACTTATGCTTGATTTTGGGGATTTGCTATTAATTGCAACTTTCTTGTAACGCCCCACATGTGTATGATACAGTGTATGTATGTTACAGCGTATGAGTTTTACAGAAAGTGAGTGACCGAATGACTTCCCCGATATCATCCCAGACATAAGGATTAAAGGAGATTATACCGTCTGTCAAAGGAGACATGACGGCCTGGACGAAACGTTGCGATGCATCACACAACACTGTGAAACATCACTGTCTACGTTTAAGTTACAGCTTTTGAATGTTAGTGTACGAATGTTACAGTGATAGTGAGCACTAAAAAAAACGGGTTTTTTTTCCTCAACCACGCCCCCCCTTGAGTAAAAAAAAACTAGATGGAACTTTGACTGCGCGCAGTCGAAATGATGCCTCCGTCATAGAGCAATTTTACAAACCATAACAGAAGAAATTTTTCAAATTCAAGTTCAATTGTAATCCATTAACAGGTTCTCAGAATATTGTGATTACAAGCAATTTCTCATATACATATATGACCCTTTGATCTTTGACCACAAGACCCTAACATCTACTCAGTTCATTGGCTCTGCAAGATACATACATGATCTAAGTTTGGGAGGAATCCATCAATCTGTTCTAATGAGAATGCGTTCACAAGCTATTTTTGCATACATAATGAGCCCATGACCTTTGACCTCATGACCCAAGAATCTACTCAGTTCATTGGCTCTGCAAGATACATACATGATCTAAGTTTGGGAGGAATCCATCAATCTGTCCTAATGATAATGCGATCACAAGCTATTTTTGCATGCATAATGAGCCGCATGACCTTTGACCTTGACCTCATGACCCCCAAATTTAATCAGTTCATCGGCTCTGCAAGTAACATACATGACCTAAGTTTGGCAGGAATCCATCAATCGGTTCTTGAGATAACGCGATCACGAGCTGTTTCAGCATACATAATGAGCCCTGTGACCTTTGACCTCGTGACCCCAAAATCTACTCAGTTCATCGGCTCTGCAAGATACATACATGACCAAAGTTTGGCAGGAATCCATCAATCGGTTCTTCAGATAACGCGATCACGAGAATGGGACATACGGACGTACGTACGGACGGACGGACGGACGGACAACCCGAAAACATGCCTCCGGCTACTTCGTAACGGAGGCATAAAAAAGAAAAGATGATTTGGGGGGAAAAATGGCATCTTACAAAATTCCCCCCTTTTCAGTAACAAAATTGGGGAAAAACAGGGAAGAATAGATAACATAAGGGGATAATCAGGTTTAAGAAATAAAACAAAAATCGGGAAACCGATTTAAATCAAGTAATTATCAGGCCTGAGTGAGCGAGTGATTTAACAACTTACCTGATATCATCCCAGACTTTAGGAGGATGAAAGGAGATGATGCCGTCTGTCAAAGGGGACATGACCACCTGGGAGGCCTGAACGTAACGTTGGGTGCGGTTACCAGATGACTTACTGCTCTTTTCCTGTCGCTTTAGGTCGTCTACCTTGGACTGTTTTACGGAGATAAAAACGGATCAAGAAACGGTTTATAAATGTTTGGTGGGTAACATTACAGTGTTGTGCGATTCAGTCACATCCATCCAGATGTCAACTTACTTCGTCTAACTTTGACCGTTTTTATGGAGATAAAGATGGATCAAGGAACGGTTTATAAAATGTTGATAGGTCACATTACATTGATGTGCGATTCAGTCACATCCATCCAGATGTCAACTTACTTCGTCTAACTTGGACTGTTTTATGGAGATAAAGACCGACGGATCAAGAAACGATTTATAAATCTTTGGTAGGTCACATTACATTGATGTGCGATTCAGTCACATCCATACACATGTCAACTTACTTCGTCTAACTTTGACTGTTTTACGGAGATAAAGACGGATCAAGGAACGGTTTATAAATCTTTGATAGGTCACATTACAGTGTTGTGCGATTCAGTCCCATCCATCCAGATGTCAACTTACTTAGTCTAACTTTGACTGTTTTACGGAGATAAAGACGGATCAAGAAACGGTTTATAAATCTTTGATAGGTCACATTACAGTGTTGTGAGATTCAGTAACATCAATCTAGTCCATTTAATGTTAGGTGTAGTTACAAGATGTCTTATTCTTTTTCTCCAGCTGCCCTAGCTCGTCCACCTTATATACAAAATACAGGTATTTATGTGACTGAGGAATGGTTTCTACATTGGTGTGACTCAATGATAGGTAACAGTACAGGGGGGGGGGGTGTTTCACAGTGACTAAGATTGACTTTAAGTTAGACTTAACTATGGCAGGCCTTTCATGCCACTGGCTGCTGTCACCATTTGTCTCTCAATTATGATATTTAGTTGTTTTATTCTTCCATAACAAACTATCAAAAAAAGTAAATTCTGTAGATTTGTAACCAAGATTCATACGTCCCTTGAGAAACCAATACCAGGAATGGTTAGAGGAACTAGTGGCATGAACGGCCTGCCGTAGTTAAGACCAACTTAAAGTCGATCTTAGTCTTTGTGAAACACTCCCCAGGTCTGTGAGATTAAATCACATCTTCTGAGAGATGTATTGGTGTAAATTCAATTCAACGTTGAGAGCAGTAACCAGGCATCGTTTTCGCGAGCCGTCAAAAGAACAAATTCACGGACATCCCATTGAAACGCATTTTAATCGTCAAAGAACACGTTTCAACGGGATGTCGGTGAAAGTGTAGTAATGACAGTTTTGTGAAACGATGCCCAGATGTCTTGCTGCTCTTCTCCTGCTGGCACAACTATAAGTTCATGGACATGCCATTGAAATGCATGAAAATTGTAAAGTTTGTGTTTTAATGGGATGACAGTGAACTTGTAGTCGTGACATTTTCGTGAAATGGAACCGAAAATATAAGGTTCCAGCATTTGGTAGGCTTAAAGATAAACTTTAGTACTGGTAATGCAATTGCATTGTGAAAGAAAAGGTGAGGAAAGGATCAGAAACAGTTGATCATGTAGCATGTAAGTATTGGTGTGCACTGCAAGGTTCTGGAGTCATCAAAATCATAATAAATTTGACAGAGTCTTGGTAAAGTAACAAGCACTGTACAAAGAAAGCTATATATGGGACAACACACATGGTGTCAGGCTAGTAGTAGCTTGATTTCTTTGTCTTTCTATGCTCATTACTCAGTCAGTATACATTTTCTTCCAAAATTGTTTGGCTCATGTCATTTATTTGTAATCTTGAACATTCAGTGTAAGTTTCGTTTGATTCTGTGAGAATTAATTTTTTTTTTTTTTTTTTACCAGAACTGGAGTTTATCTTTAAACCCATCCCTGGTCTGGTGGTACTGACCTGTATAGCATGGGTACACATTGGTCTGTAGAGAAAGAAGGCACTCTCCGGAGTGAGGTGATAGTTGGTGACCATGTTGACCAGGTCAGGGAAGTGCTTGGAGTAGTCCTCTATACTCAGCAGGTTGGAGAGGAACCCTCCTAGCTGGACAAGCGTGTCTTGGCACTACAGGAAATAGAAGGCAAAAGAAAAAGGGTGTAAAGGGCCCATAACCGGTGTATTGGCTCAGTCAGTAGAGCGTCCGCCTCACAACCGGGAGGTCGTGGGTTCGAACCCCGGCCGCGTCATACCAAAAGACGTTAAAAGACGGGAGCTGCTGCTACCAAATCGGTCTCCTGAAGTTAAGTTGATCAGGTACTGGACGTATAGGTGTTGTGATGCCACTAATCAAAGAAAATTGATGCTAAGGCTAATAAATCGGAGAGATGGGACCTACACCACCACTTTTGACATGAAACTTTGGAAATGGACTATAGAATGATTCATAGGTTAATTTCTATTTTTTAGTCGCATAAGACCAGCATTTCACCGATTGACTATCATCAATTACTAACTTGTAAGATAATCTATCGACTACTGAATTCTCTCATCTCCTTGGGCCTAAAAACAAAAATGTTGCATTGCCCTTTGTGACCGACCCCAAAATCTTGAAATCTTCGGTTGGCTGTTTTCTTTTAATTTAAAAAAAAAAAACATTTTTCAGGAAAAAATATGTTTCAAAGCATTTAAAACTGAGAAATATCAGCCCAAAGAATGAATTAAAAAATTTTTAAAAATAAAAAAAATTAAAAGAAAAAGATTTCCGACCGACCGACCCATGTTTTAGGCCGTATGTCTCTGGGCTTGATTGCGAATAACCCTTCTCACCTGATCATAGAGCATGCCCACCAGCTTCAGGTGAGTTCCTTGCTCATGTTTATAGACCACCCTGTACTTCTCTTGAGCCATCAGCATACACATGGTGACAGCTAGGTCATCCTCTAGCAACGCTTCCTTGAGACGCTGTGATGATCGCTTGGTGTTTCGCACTTGGGTAAAGTAACCTCCCTGTGATAATAATAATAAGTATAATAACAATAATTACATCAATTTATATAGCGCAGCTACTATATAAATACACTCTGCTGCGCTGATACAGGTGTACTGAAGGTGTCAGGTTCCATTTCAAATTAAATCAGTCACTATGTGAAGATGTTCAGCGGGAAGTATGAAAAAGACCAACTACACAACCGAACTTCTGCGATTTGCCAAATCAAGGGTTGTTATTTTTTGATTGCCAACAAACTTTTGCAATTCTGGAAACACTGGAAAATATGTGAAGTTTCTAATTATATGCTTCTATCTCAATCACTTTTTTGTTCTTTCATTATTATGCATTAATTCAAATCATATACTTTGCAAAACACACTGAAAAAATGAAGAAAAAGCAAATCACACATCGTGTATTGTATTAACTCTTATCATGCCACAGGGCTAATCCCCATTGTGCCAAGCCCCAAATCCCCACATGCCAGGTTGTTTTGGAGATAATCTGATTAACGCGATGGTTCTATGAATGGCGAGTGCAAAACACACAGCACAGTCCGATGAGCATGAACAATAACTGCTATTACGAATGCTGCATTGCACGCACATGGCTCTCAATAGGTATCTCTCTCGCATGTACGAAGCAGCATAGCGATAACGTGCATGCAGCCTTATGGCTGGCTATGAGTTAAAATATAATTATGACAAATTACATTTTTAGTACTATTAACCCCCCCCCCCCCCCCCCATGTCCTGTTCCACTTTCTTCTAATTCTGTCACACTGGTACAAATAAGACTAGTATATTTTTACTTTTCTCAACACATCCCTCCTCGTCCTCTCTCTTCCCTCCGTCACGTGCCCCAGTTTGTTTCTTATGACTCCTACTTTTCTCTCCTTCTAATTACATAATTTTGAATAATGCAACTATATAATCTTTGTATGTATCCGTCTTTAGACTGTTTTTACAAAGAATTTTCTTTCAGCAGACCGAAATGAATGAATAAACGACTACATGTAACTCACCTCGGCTCTGAGAAGCTCTCCTCCAGCCAGTGCTTCCAACTGGTCAGCGGTCATCTCTTCGGTCACCTCAATTCCAGCCATCTTTAACACCACTTCTCTCAAGATCAACAGATCAAAACTACAGCAGATATGAGAGAAAAAGAGAATAAGCCATCACTGAAGTTAAGACTATAGAATATAAATCAAAAAAGGAATATGAACCTATAGGGAAACTTACAAATGATCCATTTCTCAGTGTCCTACACCTGTATGCATCTTTGTGTGTGGATTTTGTGAGAAAAAAACTGACCCTTTGATTTTACTTTGATTATTTCAAGTTTTAACTTTTTTTATGCAGTCCTAATGAATTTACTTGTTTACATGTAGCAAGAGTGACATCATCATAAATTACCAATCTTCAGACTTGGTTTGGAATTTTCCTCATGAAAGTTGATATGCAAGTAAAAAAAAAAAAAAAAAAAAATTTTAAACTTAAAGCTTATCTGTACTAGTTTATAGGAGGGATAAGACCCCTCCTGCAAGATCACTGGACAGGTGGTTATCTCATCAACTCAACTCTCAATTAACATAAGAAAAAGAGGATCATGGGGGACCAATGGTCACTGATAAAGCATTGTTTTCTATATAGAGGGAGCAAGTAGCTACAAGTAGGACAGTGTGGCTTTAAACAAAAACTGAAACAACTCTATATTATCAAGAACATCACACTACACTATTGCCTATACATTTACACATTACATTGCTGCCCATAAATTTTGAAGATTTTTGTTTGTTTACATCTTTTCGTGAAGTGATTGTAAATATATGATTTTTCGTGATAAATAAAGTTTAAATCTTCTCAGAGCTCTATTGATCATTTTAAAGAGTCATAGAGATTGATCAATACAGTTCTGAGAAGATATAAACATAATATATAAAGAATAAACAATATTTTCAGCAATTCGTTACCTCTTGCCAACTTTGAGCTGATTGGCCACAAACTGGAGCAAGCCTGTCAGCTCAATGTTATATTTACGGAACATTGCCCCACAGAATGCTGCCAGACCTGAGCAACAGAGAAAAAACAAGAAAACAGAAAACTCCCATTTATAGTGTGAGCTATACCACACTGGGCGGATGCAAAGGTTGTAGGGTTCAAGTTTCAAAGACAAATCACACACAACTGAATTTGAACATACTCAAATAACCCCTGGGGAACTTCCTATACTGCCCTATACTGCACACAAGTCACAAGGAGCTTGTATAGTCTTGGACACATGCTCTTTGACATAGACATTTGAAATAATGCTGCCTTCAGTTGATTCTGTGAAATAAATCCTGTATGATATAAGTCTACTGTCCATTTATTTTGTTGAAAAAAAAGGAAAACCTCTTTATGTTGATAATTGCATCTTTACAGTGTTCTTATATGAATACCATTCAATATTTCCATCCATTAATTGTACAGTCAGACTAGAAAATATAGGATAATGTCCCATACATGAAATTGCAAGTGAAGAATTCCTCGGAAAGTATGAGCCACGTAAGTAGTCCATATGAACATTATTCCATCTATCAAGGTCATGTCTTCTCCCAGGTCGAAGGTTATTTGCAACATGTTCCCACACATCTGTTTTCTGCGATCCTATAGTACACTCTTGCAGTGTCGGTTCACTCCATGTCTAAACGTGACTGGGTGACATTGTCTCAGATTCTGACACAAAATCCTGGATTTAGCTCATGCTGCAATGATAATTATAAACCTTTAGATCGGTCGAAAATCCCATGACTTTTACAAGCCGATCGCCTGTCTGATTATCAAGATATTTATGATTGGAAATCAAAATTTCATTTTTCGTTTTCCTAACGGTTTTTATAACACTACAGTCTATTGGGGAAAATGAGTATGGTAAACCCGGTCACTTAAAGACTTTTACTATTTTGAGGCACTTTATGATCCTTTTGAAGCGCAATATTTTTAGGGCTTCAATATTACACCATATCACAGACACTGATGACACGTAGGGCCGTGCATCTCAGGTTTAACCTTTAAACCTTTCTTCTCGAGATATTTTAAACTTACTTTGCATCCAAAGTGAAAGACTGGTTTCGTCGTGCTTCATGCGTTCCTTCTCTGGGTTAGCCAGAGCTTCTATCACACAATCTGAGAGGTAATAAGGCTAAGGATATTTAGGTTATTTAAGTTAATCATTAACACAATTTTCCCCCTACAAAAAAAAATTAAATGGTTTTGTATGGACAGAAAGCTGTAGTTAAAAAAACCTGTAAATCTCTATCTACAGCTTAGCAGTTGGCCGAGGTTCCAAGACTGCAAAAATGGACTGTCGGGCAACTGCACTACATGTATGTAAAATAAAATGAATACTTAAACTGCGTTTGACACGCAAATTTTCTATTTCATGTTGGGCAGTGCTACAAACACTAGATTCTTGGAATCTAGAATCGCAGTACACAATGGCAGAAAATCGACCTGAATGATTTGATGGCCGGGGATAGAACCTAGGACCTACTCAACATTTCTTGGAATTGATAAAGGATACATGCTAGGATGTCGAAGGACAGGGATGTGAGGTACTTGAGAGAATCGACCACAGGTCCAATCAGGTTATCATACATCTGAATCTGAGACAAAACCTGGTAATAAAGAAAAGAAACATTATACCATTCAAATCAAATCTTTATATAGTTGTTGCATTAAGTATCGGCAAATGAGTGAACTAAAAACTTATTTAATGACGGTGCTTGATTATTATGATCATTCTTATTTGCCTCATCATATTAAAGAAACATGCAAAAGAGTCATGTTTTGATTGGTATGTGTATGATTGGGCTGGGAAACATTTTTACTCATGGTACCATGCTGGTCACAGGTGAGTATCGGCTGGCCAATGCCAGGTGGAGGGGCATAAATCAGCACTAATAAACAAAATTAAAAAATTGGCGGCCGTACGAGAAATCGCACTTGTATAGTTGTCAAACTTGCGAGTACTCGAGTATCTGAGTACTTGTTGCAGCCTTACTGACAAGATGCATTGTGTATGCATGCAACATGATAAATAGCTGCAATTAATTTTTTTATTTTCATAAAAGTCTATAAGAGCTCCATAGGTCTTGGTGCAATAACTTCTGAACTGTGCCTGGCTACTAGAGCCCTGCAACCACTAGATCACTATGATATCAATCTTTGCACAAGAGTCGGGGGGGGGGGGGGCAGGTACAAATTTCAGAGGTCAAAATGTCAGTGGTGAATATGTCAAAGGTTATAATGTCACAGGTGAAAATGTCATAGGTGAAAAATATCAGAGGTAAACATGTCAGAGGTACAAACGTCAGAGGTAAAAGTGTCGACTGTAAAAATATCAGACTTCAAAATGTCAGAGAAAACATTTATACTTTTGATAAATTTACCTCTGAAATTTATACTACTGACATGTAATGTAGTGGAAGGGAAACAAGAGACACTATGAACATGACAAACAAAGGAAGCGGACAAAATATACAGTTCCTCAGGTAGACAAAGGAACATCCCTTCACTGATATTATGTAAAAAGGTGAATATGCATGTGACACCTGTTCGACACATTTTTACATAATAGCAGTGAAAGGATGTTCCTTTGTCTACCTGAGGAACTGTATATTTTGTCCGCTTTCTTTGTTAGTCATATTCATAGTGAGAACAACAGCTCTCAGTTTACAACCCTCCAGGACGAATTGTCTGTACTTACATAAGAGAAGAGCACCCCAGGATTGGAGTGGCTGAGTTTGCCTAGCTGCCTCCCAGACGGCTTGACGTTCTCCTTGGTCAGTCTCTTCATGATGTACTTGGCCCGGTCAGTGGTGTTCGCCTTGACCCGGATCAGCGGAGGATGGATCCCATAGCAGTGGTTAATCCATCGTGCATACAAGCAGTATCTGTAGGTAAGGGGAGGGAATGGGGTAAGGGGGATGGGGAGGGAGAGGGGGGCAAAGAGTATGAAAGCTGATGATGCTCGATTGTTTTTTCAACGGCTCCCTATAAAAAATTAAACATAGCCTATTAATAATAATAATAATAATATTTAATTTTTATATAGCGCTTAATACAAATGTCTCTAAGCGCTTTACAAATATACTATTACCCCGGTCATTGGATTTAGTGCTTCCCGCACACAATGTGTGCACAACCTCCACTCCCTGGGGAGCATTCCAGCCTGGTGTTACATGACATATCATAGTAAAACCAGGTTTGACAACCGAGATAAGTCATCCTCTTCTGTATAAACTTTTGACAGAGAATCATCACCGTCAATGATATCTTCCATCACTGACCACACCTCTTCTGACTTTGAGCAGTGCACATCATCAGGGTGCTGCATTAAATCGACAGTTGAGTCTGGCAAGAAATAAAGACTACAGCTTCTCCTTAAAAACTAAATTTATAGGTCACACAAATAATCTCCATCCGCCACACTGTATTTATCATTTGATACATACCAAACATTCAAAGCCAATTTAAATGTTTCCAGTACAAGCACTATGAACATGACGGACACAGAAAGCGGACAAAATATAAAGTTCCTCAGGTAGACAAAGGAACATCCCTTCACTGCTATTATGTAAAAAGGTGAATATGCATGTGACACCTGTTCTACACATTTTTACATAATAGCAGTAAAGGGATGTTCCTTTATCTACCTGAGGAACAGTATATTTTGTCCGCTTTCTTTGTCAGTCATGTTCATAGTGAAGACTACTACCAGTGTTAAAAGGGTTGTCATGGAGTCAATCAAGACAGGGGATGAGTAATGTTGCAAAGCCCTTGTGTTGCTAAGAGTAATCTTTCCGTCAATTGGTACCTATAATTTTGTCCAAAATTGCATGCGTGGCAAATGAGCAACCATGCAGAAAGGCAAGCAAACGACCAAAGTGTTAATATACACTGATATCGTAGACAATCATTGTCTGGACTGGTGGACTGTGAAGTATTTGCGGTCAGAACATTACAAGTCCCTTTTTGTGGTTGCTTGATGTTTATCCTTACCTAATGCACTAAGGTAGGATCTTCATTAGCAACCGACCATCTTCAGATATACAGATGTTTCATGGTCCCTTGCTCATACACCTCGAGTCTTATAAAGTATTATAAAGAAAGAACATGAGCCTCCTACACACTGACCTTACTGTCAAACTACTCAAATAAACACTCAAATCTAAGACAGGTTTTCCCTTTTCTGTCTTCCAGGGGCCCATTTCACAAAGCCTTTCTTCAATGACATATGACAAAAATCAGTGACAAATTTGCTGATAACCAATCACAAGCAAGAATTTCAGTAGCTTATAACAACAACTGTCATTTTTCACTGATGACAAGTTTTGTGAAACGACCCCAGTTTGGTACGTATCCTTACCTCCTGTGATAAGGCAGCATCTTCATGAGCGACCAGACCTCTTCAGAGAGACAGGCATTGCATGGCATCATGCTGATGGATGGCAATATCACTTGCTCAATCATTGACAGCATCTCATGAAAAACTCCATTCTACAAAAGAAACATCAATACTCAGCGTTTATATTGGGCTTAATACATTGACGATGTCTCTAAGCGCTTTACAGATGTGTTATTACCCTGGTCAACAGATTCAGGCTTGCCAGCACACAATGTATGCACATTCTCCACTCCCTGGGGAGCATTCCAGCCAGACTACATTAACGTTCGCATCCTACAAGGTACCCATTTAACACCTGGGTGGAGAGTGGCAAATGTGGATTCACGTCGTGCCAAAGAACGTTAGTGCTGGGCTGGGATTTGAACCCGTGATCTACAGTGCGGCGACTTATCCACAACACCTCTACAGATACTACTTCTAGAGACAACCACACACAACAACGACTTTACAATGTATACATTTCAACAACAAAAATTTGAAGAATAAAATACTTGGTGACCATACATGTTATTCATATACTCTTCAATAGCAGGTAATACAAGATGGAATGTCATGTAATAGATATGAACAATGTTTCATATTGCATACAGCATACCTGCCAACATTGAAAATGAGAATTAAGAATTTTTAGCACGGTATGTCTTCGAAAATAAGAAATCTGTACCCTAAGTTAACAGGCGTTCGCACATGCAGCGGCAGTGTAACTGGTAATACGCGGTAATCTGTGCAAAAAGGCGAATACAAAATCGCTGCTCAATCATGCAGCCCTTCAACGCACGCGATACGTGAACTCTCACATCGCGGGAAAAAACAAGCTTAATTTGGCTTAAGCAACAAAAAAGAAAATTTGAAATTTTGAAAATCCGGGATCTCCTGCATTTTGGGGTCCTAAAAATCCAGAAAAACAGGATATTCCGGATTATTCGGGAGGGTTGGCAGGTGTGATACAGGTGAGGAATAAAGAATGGAGTCCACTGCGCTAACCAATTGGAAGCTGTAAGCAAAATGTATCTTCCCTTCTAGCACTCAAACGGAGAATATGCGAAAAATAAAATCATGAAATATTCAGTCTGACTTACCAACTCTTCTTTCTTTTCCTCTGTCGATGAAGCTCTCTACAAAGATAGAAAAAAATGAACGCAAGGCACAATAGTGTGTGCATGAAGCAGATAATCATAATAAGGATACCCCTAAAAACACCAATTTTGAATTACCATTATAATTCATCGATTATGACGTATGAATAATAACAATAATAATAATTAATCTGGATTTGCATAGCCCTCAATAAGGAAAACGGTATCTAAATGGTATATATATATATATATATATATATTGAAGGTGCCAGGAGGAACAATGTTCAACGAAATTCAGAGTGAAAATAGCAGAAAATATATCAATTTGCACTGATGGAATATACAAGAGGCATGGATTGAACTTCCTAAGCCCTTTCGCTTTTTTTCTCATCAGGTGAAGTGATGAGAATAAATCGAAAGCGCTTGTGACCTTTCCTACTCTCTCTCTCTCTCTCTCTCTCTCTCTATATATATATATATATGTGTGTGTGTGTGTGTGTTCTTTTACTATCGTTTACACTGTATTACTGTTAACAGTAATTTACCTCTGCAAGCAGTGCTTTGCCGAGCCTGACAAGTTTCCATATGAGGATTGGTTGCAAGGAAGCATAAGGTCCAAGGTAGCGGCACATCTCCAGGACTCCCTTGATGTTCCCTAGCCTCTGCACTGCCTGCAAGGTGCCGTTCTTGGGAGGTGCAGGTATGTGGTAGCCTTTGGCTCCCTGTGGTTGACAACTCCTTCATGAAACAAAAGACATTCAGATTGATTGAACGGTTGGTTCTTTATTTTCCCCAAGTACAAAGCCTACTGCACCATGACACATCATTTGACAACTAACACACTTACTCCTGCACAATAATGGACTGAAGTTTAATCTGTCAAAATTTCACAGCAGAGCAGCATTTCTTTTGTAGTGAGAGAATGCCATCCATACTACATCTTTGAGGAATCAGCTACTTCAGAGAAAAATTGAAATTCATTTGCAAGAAACTAGAGACAAGATGAAAAGCATACTGTTTAAATATGGATGCAGTAGAGACTCGATAACAAGACACAATGGTTTATGGATCCAAAATCTGGAGTCTGCCCTGAAAGTTCCCCCCCCCCCATTTATACAAATCTCATAACCAAGCACAAGAAAAGAGACTTACTTTTTGTAGAGCGGTTGCAAGAGGGATTCAATGAGGTTGCAGAGAGCCTTGGCCACGGTAGGGTTGCTCGTGGTTCCATACTCTGGGAGCTTGTCCAGGAGTTTCTTGGCATGCACCCAATCCCCAATCAGGATCATAGACTCACACAGCCCTATCTTTTGGTTGTCCATGACCTACAGGACACAAGAGGGAAGTTTCATTGAATGGGATCATACATTTATAAAGTGACGTGCCCTATGAATATGCAGGAATCTACATAAATCTTTACTGTAAAGTTGAGAGAACAGCCCCTCCAAAGAACCAACTTAATCTACGTGGGATACTGTTTTTTTTTAAATCATGCTGTTGAATGCAAAAATGTTAAATAAGTGATGAAAACTTGCTTGCCTGTATGTCACAGGCTCCTGTGAAAATTGCTTGTCATTAATTTCCTACACTTAACCCCAACCCTAACCTAACCTAACCTAAAACCCAATTGCAACCCTAACCCTATACTTTTAACGAAATAAGCGCCTGGAGCCATTGATGCTGGAGAAAAAATGTCAAGTAACCTGGAAATTACACATCGTACAGTGAAACCATGTGCTCTACTGCTTGATACATATTGGGTAAGATAAACTCAAATTTATTATCTTTCTTTGCTTAAAATTACCCTACAATTTCACATCTTTAACCTAAAAAATATCTGTGTCATGTGCTGCGGTCTGCGGAACAGGTCAACAAACTTCATCACCACATGAGACAACTGTTGACCTCCCACTGAGGTGCATGCACTTGCAGTCACCAATCTATTATGTACGCTGATTACATTCTCCCCTAAAATATCTAGAGAAATTTTCTGATAGTCACTAATTTTGCTCTGCTTATTGTGGCTGTATTACCATGGCTGGTGTGCGTGTTCAAGACAAATCCACATAGTGTGGCAATGATACCTGCAAAGGCGAGTTTAAATATGTTACAGATCAAGCCATCTTTACAGCTATCTGACCTTAATTATTTTGGGTTAGTTTGGCAGATTTATTGTGATAAAAGATGAGGAATTTTGTTACCGTCTTAGTAATACCAAGTTGACCCAACTTTTGACATAGTCCGGCACACAATTTAGTGAGCTCCAAATGCTCATCAGGCTGCACTACTTATCCATACTACGGTATATTGACACAGATAAGAAATAAGGATTTGAATTTTTTAGAAAAAAGAATAATAAAAGACAAACCTGTTCATCTTTATCTTTCTCTTTCTCCTTGTCGTCTTTATCATCCTTGTCGGCAAGGACAGCCATGCTCATCTTCCTAGCGTACTGCCTGGCATCAATGATCTCCTGCTTGTGGGCCTTGAAGATGTCTACATCAGATGGAGCAAGCTGGAAATGAGAATGCAGAGATTAATGATGTATCTAAACTTTTTTTGTTTAAATCATTATTTCCTGAACATTTGATATTTAGGTTCAGCATTGAATGAATTTAAGGGGTGGGGGAAATTCTCTTCAGTTTGTACCAACATTAAGGAAGATACAAAGATGTCACTGGCATCCTTGATTTAGGTGCTTGAAGCCTTGAGAACAAGTTACTTGTAAAATAATCACTAAATAAACATCATAGCATCATTGGCATTGCAAGACACATACATGACCCAAGTTTGGCGGGAATCCAGCAATTGGTTTTTGAGATAATGCGATAACGAGCTATTTTTGCATACATAATGAGCCCTGTGACCTTTGACCTTGAATCTCGCGAACTCAAAATCTACTCAGTTCATTAGCTCTGCCAGATACATACATGACCCAAGTTTGGCGGGAATTCATCAATTGGTTCTTGAGATAACGCGATCACGAGAACGGGACGTACGGACGGACGGACAACCAGAAAATATAATGCCTCCGGCTACTTTGTAGCGGAGGCTTAAAAAGGATTTTCTCATAGACTTTACAGCAATTTAGGACATACACTGTACATGTAGGTAAACAAATGGAGAGTAAGTAAGCTGATGATATCACAGTCAAGTGAATTTCTCCTTTTTAAAGGGAGAGGGTCATCAGTCTCCATGTGCAGAAGGCCATAACTTGCTGACACCAGACATACCCCCCCCCCCCCCCTAGTCTCTCAGAGAGTTTTTTGGGGTGAAGATAATGACTTTACCATGTGGGGAATGGGTGGAAAATGGAAAGCATTACATAAGGTGTGTTGGTTATAAAACTGAAGGTTAATCTTGGTGCTTGACAAAAACTGTTCTTGGGTAAACACCCAAATTTTATCTTTAAAGAGAGAACTTACATGAGGGTATATGTCATCCAGTTCCACAATATGATGTTGTAATAGCTGGGCAGCAACCTTGTGAAGAGATTTTGGAGTTCGAATATTCTCCTCCTGTACAAAAACATTACATAGAAATTGAACAAGACATATGTGACTGCGTCTGCCCCCGCCCTAAATTCAGCATAAGAAATGGATGAAATTAGTCTCGACATATCACAATGAAAATAAAAAGCCTATAATCAAATGTCAACTATGATCTCGACCTACTAGCCGCAAAATGTAATTGAATCATCTTTCTATAGTAATACTCTAACCATGTTTGAAGCTTATACCTCACGAAGGTCATATTGTGATAACAATGTTAATTCCTCTTCAGAAATTTACCTCTCTGACCTTTGAGAACCAGAAAAACAATATTTCTGTAAGAAAGTGATGTCATTTAATCCTTTCTGGTCGAAAAAAAGAAAAGCAAATTGTTCCCCAAGTTCTTCATGAGATGACAAGATGTCTGTACGTCATGGTAAAAAGACATCTGCATGTACATTCCAATCAGGATATATTAACATCTGACACAAGTATGTCTAATAGCATTTGAGTTGGCTTCTTTTCTCAATGAATATTCTTACAGGCTTCTTTAAGACTGGTTCGCAAGCACTACGAAAAGTTGGATTTTGAACCCCTGGACCCAGCACCATGACAGTGGGTCACACAATCAGGTCAGACATCTTTACTGCCAGCTTGCTCAAGAATTCATTCTCACTCACCTTGTAGAACTGGAACTTGAACCCCAGGACCTGACATACTGTCAGTGGGTCACACATGTAAGACCTGAGGAGGGGAACAAAGACATGGTCCTGCTCCGGAGCTGTCTCAAAGGCCTCCAAGATGATGTCAAGGACGCGGTTTGGATCAAGGTCAAATCCACCTGGGTAAGGAAGACGGGAGGACATACTTTGATCAGACATTGGAGAGGTTCCTCAACAGGAATTAAATGTTCCACCGGACAAAAGCAGTACTCAAAAGTATAGACCAGCTCTGGTCATGCAATTGTATTGTGAAAGAAACGTCGTGGAATCGATCAGAAAAGGTTGATCATCTATCATAAAAGTATTGGTGTGTACTGCAGTCTTGTTAAAGTTACAAGCACTGTACACAGAAAGATGTATATGGGACTACACGATGTCTATCCAGTCCTGATCGATATAATTTACCAAATGTATCAATTAGTAGGGGGGTTTCCCGGCAAACTTTGTATCATCACATAGTCATAACATATTCTTTCACATGATTGGTAATAAGAGCTTCCATTTCATTTTTTGAGAGGGGGGGGGGGTTCAAAACTGGTCTATCCCTTTAAGCATGTTTCTGAAGCTTCTAAGTGATTGGTTTGTGATAACCAAAGAATTTTTTCTTCATATTTAAGTATGCATTTTTTTAACCCTTGTCAGTACCCCTGCCAGGGAGAATTCAACCTTTGGTTTTCGTTTTCGTTTCTAGAGTCCCCTAGGTTTGGTACAAGCACCCAATGTGTTAAATGCACAAGTGAGAATCCAGTAAAATGTATTGCAACTGTCCGGTCCTCACCATTTGCAATGCTTTTACTGCACTCGGACCCACAAGATAAGTGGTGATGGGATAGAGTGGGTAAAGTGAAAGTTTTTGGCCCATATTGTAGAATGAAAAAAATGTTTCAACCATGAAATCCTAAAATAATCTAACTTTTGTCCATCTTCTTCAAATCTAGCAATGAATGCATACTGACAAGTTAGACTGGAGATTAAGTTTGGATATATATATTTAAGATAATGCAGGTATATGCCACTGCCCTTTGTTAATATAAATCTAGTAAGGCTGCAAAAATGTGGCAAAGGAGCAATGACATGCAACGTGTTCATGAATCCATTCTCAAGAGGAATAACACTTTGTAATTACATGTACCTTATAACGAGGGTACGTTCAGGCTATCACAATGTAGGCAAGTGCTTTATACAACAGAGAAGGAAAGTTGCATAAAGATGTGCTTATGCATGGTCTGCTAATTGCAAAAGAGTACATCTAAATATCTCTCCTAAGGTGTAGGAAATAGTAGCGTTTGATATCTGATCAGCTGTGGATGCCATGTAGCAAGAAAATGGAGGAGATACATTTGATCCAGGCTTCATTTTGATGGTGACGATTCACAGCATATACGATGTCATATATTTCTTATAATACAAAATACATTCAAAGATGCAGGACGTGGGGTTTTGTTTAGGAAGTAGGTTTAAGGTTTGAGTAACTTTCAAGTTTTAGCTTTGATTGAGGAACTGCTATAAGGAAAAAAAAGTCTTTAATAAGTGGGTCCAGGAATTTCTCAACGATTAAGACTCAATAAGATATTAAGTGGTAAACTGCAGCAAATTTTTACAACATCCAAAATGGCAAAATGGCAAGTAAGCACAACGAAGGTCGTAAGCCTTTTCAATGAGCTTTGTTAAAAGATACAGGAATGTGATGCGTATTACACTCATTTTACAACAAAAATAACCATGTCTGTTTAGCGCTTCGTATCTGAACGAGGCTGAGTGCAGAGCCAGTTTCAATGAGGAAATGAGAACTGAAGCTGAGAGAGGGCCATACCTATGAGCGCTTTGATGTTCTTTGAAACCTGGGAGCTTGTAGCAGGGTCGACTGTAACTTGAGTGAGCTCCGAGACCAGCTTTGCGAAGCCTTCACTCTCTTCGCGTAGCAGGTTGAACTTTTGTTGTTTGTAGCTGAGCAAGGAAGGAAGGGTAGCAACATAGCATGGTTATGATTTACAATTACTGAAGAATTATGAGTTTGACAGTGTAAGGTGAACATGTCACTTGAAAGGAGAAAGACCACTGTATGATTTCTTACATAAGAATATAACCTGAATAATATGTCAAATTTCAGACACTTTTCAGGGAGAGTTGGAAGACAGGATTGTTTTTTTAATAGAAATGCAGATTATTCTTATGCTCAAACTTTGTAAAGTGACTTCTCTTCCAGTAAAAAAAAAAAAAAAAATGCAGTTCACATCAGATTTCATGAACAAGAGCAACATTACTGCCCACACCTGTGCTTCAAGATACACAGAAAGCATGACTCAGAATCAGTGTGGTATAAATAAATGAAATTGGAACTCAAATCTTTCAAAATCTTCTTAATAAGTGGAAAGATAGTGGCGTTGTAGATTAATCACAGACAAGTAAGAGGGAATTTTCTAAAGCACTTCGCAAGTGGATAGAGAGTTTTAAAAATAAAATAAATTAAGATACGTAATGTGCACTACACAAATTATAACTTGTAGTATCTACAGATTTTGTGCACAGTATGTACTGTTTCATATGATATTTCACTCTGGCAGACCTGTCGACCAAGTTACATGCAAAAGGTTTAAGAATAGCGTCCTGTCAAAAGAAACGTTCTAAAGAGACAGAAATAGTATATTCCCATAGGGTGAGGGTGAATAACAAGGATCCACGTTATAAGTTTATAAAACAAATAATACACAGCATTTCGTTCGGGCATTAGTAAAATTACCCACACTCTGTACCTTTGAAACAGTCTGAACACCCTCGGCTATCGCCCCGGGCGTGTTCAACTGTTCCAAAGGTACAGAGTGTGGGTAATTCTTACTAATGCCCTCACTGCAGTGCATTATTTGTATAGTAATTACTCACTAGAGTTTTGTCTTGAGTCGAACATATCTCTGGGCAAAAGCCTGTTTGTTGGAGAGGATGTTGATGGCATCCAGAGTGTCATTGTCTAATCTCTCTTTCAAAAGGCGGCTGTCCAGGAATGCCTGTATTTCATATTGGGAATAACAAAGTATTAACAACACTGGTAATAATATTGAAAGTGATAATAATGATGGTGTGAAAACATCAGAGAATGGTCTTGGATAACAATTTCCAAATCTCTTCATCTGCTTTTGCCATCTCTCTCTCTCTCTGTATCTGTCTCTCTCTCTCTCTCTCTCTAACTCACTCTAACTCTCAGGGATGCTAGTTAGAATTGATCAGAGGGCCTGCAAATCACCTTGAATGAGCTATTTGTACATAAAAAAGCCTAACCTATGGTCTGAAAATAATTTGCCAGGGCCTGAATTCAAGCTATTGCCTGAAAACAACTGGGGGGCGTTTCATCAATATTTGTTCCCACACAACTGTCAGCCCTGACTAAATTTAACCAATCAGAGGCCTAGAAAATAGTCAGTGACAATAAAATTGTCAGTGAAAATGATATTAGTTGGTGAAAACCCCCAACTAATTGTTTTATGAAACGCCCCCCTGGCATCCCTGAATTCTCTCTAACTATTGGTTCATCCTATTGTACTTACGGAACAAGCTGTAAGAAGAGAGATTAAATTTTCCTTGCATGTGTTTTCTTCTCTTGATGTTGTTTCAATATCTGGAATTCAAAACAATAATGAGAATATATTTAAATCAATCCATGAATATCAAAAAAAAATTAAATAAAAAAGGAAGTTTGCCTTGAATCATGTAGTTGTTACATCTCCCATATCATTCAAGGTGACAAAAAATATCAAACTTCTACACCATAAATCCACACAAACAATTTCGCACAAAACAAAAGGCACTAATTGACTACAGGACTGCTATGTGCAACACAATGGCTCGACAAAATTACCCATTTCTGGTTTTGATTAGCTCCAAGACAACTCATTTAAAATCGGTATGGATTAATCTTGCACTGGAAAACAATTACATAAGCTTGAAGCCCTTTTTTTAATCCCATAATAAATGAAATTTGGCACAGGGAGGTTATTGTTGAGGCATATTACGAGTTAAATGTAAGAAATTTATATTATTCAAAATTTTTGTACCATGGAAAATATAAAATAGCTGCAAAAAGCCAGTATCCTTTTAATAGTCAGAAACAAAAGGGGTACAAACAAACTTTCCAATCTACTTGTTTAAAAGGGGGAGATATGGTGGCCTATACAATCGTATGATGAAAATTGACTACATTTACACCACACAGTGATATTCTGCCTATACACCATGCTAACATGTTATGTTACTGCTATTGGCCACTGCATGGCTCCGTGATAACACTTGACCATGATTACCAACAGACGGTAGTATCTTGTGGGAGTGTCGTGGTCGAGTGGTTTAAGGCGCTTGACGGTAGATGCGAAGGTCGAGGGTTCGAATCCCGACACGGCACTAATATCCTTTGGCAAGATATTTACCTGCACTTGCTACTCTCCACCCAGGTGTTAAATGGGTACCCGGTAGGATGCGAACGTTCATGTGGTTGAACGAGCAAGTGTGCGCCTGTAAAATGGCGACTGGCTGGAATGCTCCCCAGGGAGTGGAAAATGTGCACACATTGTGTGCAGGTAAGCCTGAATCCGATGACCGGGGTAATAATATATCTGTAAAGCGCTTAGGTACATCGTTGGATCGGTGTATTGAGCGCTATATAAAAAACCAGATTATTATTATTATTATTATTGCTATTGAGCTTAACATTAACTTAACATAAGTGGTACATTTGCCTTGTTTTTCTCTGTCTTCCTGTGGTACCACTTAATTTATATTTAATTATTCATATAGTTGAGGGACAAGCCTTTGATAGGCCTTTGGCCTTTGTTTGTTCCCCGCATTTAGATACTTTTGTTCTGTTGTGTTATTTGTTGGAATTGACTTTGTATTGTAAATGTTTGTTTTTGTGATTTTTATCAAATGTGCAAATAAAATGAATTGAATTGAATTGAATTAACCATTTTCATCCAATACAAAGTGTAGGTTTTTTAAATTTCTATCATGCAAAGTTTGCTCATGGAAAAGATTACTTTGCAGGAGCTAAACATATGTTATGCCCTATCTGAAGGTGCCTGCCCATCTTAATAAACGGTATATTATTCCCTGAGATCATTGTGAAATAACCCAGTGGACAAGCCCAAAGTATCTTGAGGTTTAGTGTCCCATTCATTGTCATGAATCATGGAAAAATTAACAATAATAATAATAATCTGGATTTATGTTGTGCTTAATATGTAATACTGCCTTTAAGCACTTTACAGACAGTATTACCCCAGTCATCGGATTAATTTACGCACAATATGAACCATCTCAGCTCCCTGGGGAGTCTTCCTGCCATATAACCACTGTGAGGGCATATGGCAATCATTAACACAAATGAATTTGTCATCCTACATGTACCAGGTTCCCATTTCTCTCCTGGGTATGGAGTGGCAAATGTAGATTAATGCCTTGCCAAGGACATTAGTGCCGTGTCGAGGGATCAAACCCACGCCCTTTGCATTTCAAGTCAAGTGCTTAACAACTCAAATTACAGTACCATTGACAGTTTGGTCTGATCCAAGCTATAATAGGGCCATCCATTTGACACATCATCGATCACTAATGCAGTTGCTAATGTGTGGGACAAAATACCATAGACTTGCCCCACTATTGGAAGCACTGAATATATCAAGGACATGCAATATTAGACCGTTCAAGACAATGTTGTCAACCAACCTTTGATGTTGAAGACATCCACCAAGATGGACGCCACACCTGGATGGATATCCTAGAAAGCAAACACAAAAAGGAGAAATATGATCAAAGGGAGATGATTCTCCGTACAAAACTTATTCAGAACTGCTTGTAAACGTTTAAAGGTACAGACCCTTGTCAGTCATAGATGTAAGACTTTGTAAACTGCAGGGTTTACTGTAGTCTAGAGGCCCTATACTACATGTACAGGAGCTCTACACATGACAACACCAGAAACAGACAAGTTGGGCTAGGCTCAAGAGTTTATGGAGTTGTCTTAAGCGTGAAAATAGAATCTGTGAATGCGGACAATGATCGCAAAGAACAACAAAGAGCTGCTAAGTGCAGATCTTTGATTACCACCACATGCATAATAATCAGAGCTGCCAACCTTGTGCGACCCAAAAAAGGAATCATGATGGCAAAAAAAAAGGAATTTCAGGCAAAAAAAAGAAATACATAAAAACGATGTAGAAATGTTCATTCATCATGCTGTTTTTTCCATACAAGCAGGCAATTTTTTTGGTGGTTATCGGCATTTCATCCTTTTTGAGAATATTTTTTTCTTCAAGTATGTTTTAAAATTAGTTTTTTATTGAATTTGTGATCAAATCACCATATAAGGGCAGTTGTTTGACGTGCGGTATTTAAAAAAAAAAAAAAAAAAGTATTTTATGAAGAAAAAATGTAATACCGTAATTTGGAGGAAAAAACAGAGTAATTCCGGCAAAAACGGAATGGTTGGCAGCTCTGAATAATTATTAACAATTTTCTCATTCCTTATCCGATTTTCTTCAACTTTTTACAGATCTGTTTCCCATTGTTCTGCTATAATTTAGCCAACTGTATTTCTTGTGTGGTTTCCCATTTAAAGGTTAGGAGTTCAATATTTCTTGCTAGGAAAAATTCTTAAATTTTACTGTTATACTCACCACAGAAGCACTGAGCGTGGACACTGCGAGTTCCTGCTTCAAGGTTCCCTTTATTGTCTGATCAATCAGGTCACGTAGACCCTTACTTAATTCTGCAAAGAGAGGTTTTAATGATGCTGCTTGTAAGTATCGGCTTGCATGGTGATGTAGATATACAGTAGGCTTGCAGGTGCACCATGTGAGAGAGAGTGAGGATTAAGGATCAAGCCCTATAGTTCTCCTTAGAACTATAAGCTATGAAAGATAACCGACAGTCTTTTTCAAGACTACACCAACAGTCCTTTTCAGGACAACACAACCTCAAGAAAAATTACAGGACTCTCTCTCACATGGTGCACCCACAAACCTACTGTATAGGTTTTAAAGAGTTCAACACATTGTCCTTCAACAACAGGTACAATGGTTCTCTAGCGTCTATAGATTATATATGTACACTGTTGGTAACTTTTTTTATAATCAAGTTGTAGTTCCTGACTACAATTTTATTCCAATCATTCTAATATTTCAGTTTGCGCAATGTACCGTACTAGAGTATTGGCTTGCTCGCTAGATGCCCCGTCTGTTCAAGACAATGGCTACAAGTGCTTTCTGTTATTTCTCGCTAATTGTAATGAGTTGATACCATGTTTATTGCCAGATGAGTGGATCTGTTAAATTGGGTGACCAGGGGGTGTTTCATAAAGATCCTAAGTTGGACTTATCTCTAAGGTGGACTTAACAATTATAGAGAGCCGTGAGCATCTTTGAACAAAAATTGTAAAAGTTATTTCAAAAGGCATAAAAATGTTGATTCAAATCATTCATTTTTTCTATTATCAAGGAGATTTCATGTTCTTGACGTGGAAGTTATGATAAGTCTAAAATACTTGAATTTTTGCTTTTGAATATATTTAATTTTAGGGCTACAAATGGCTCTCCATGATTTATAAGTCCAACTTATAGTTAAGTTTGACTTAGGATCTTTGTGAGACGCCCCCAGGCATTTACTCCTGCAACCATTAACTCCAGGCATTATTTCTTCAAAGGTTAAGGGTTTGGCTTGCAAGCAGGATTGAGATAAGGTTTGAGTTTAAGTTATTAAGGGGGTAAGATTAGTTTTAGTGTATAGGTCCAGGGTTGAAGTTTTAAGAATTCAGTTAGTGTAGAAAATTTTGTGTAGGAAAATGTGAACTGCATACATGACGCATTGTTAGGTAGGACAAGCCATAATGCTTGTCCTACCCAGCTTGGTATATGCAATTTGCATTCTGACTTTTGAAATACAATTATTCATTACAGGTGAATAAAATATTTGTATCGAGGCACTTCACAAAAAGGTATGCATTAAATTTGGATGCATTAAGAAAATGGTCTCTTGGACAAATTGTGCTCTAGATGGGACAATAGGGAGTTTTCGCAAGCTCAACGCGGACAGAGAATCTGCGGTTCGTGTGCAAAATCGAGAAGCTACTATAAACAGCGGAGTGACCCCCGAGGTACTGAAATTCCAGACGGTTTTTAGCCAAATCTATGGGAGTTCTCAATGACGCTTCAAGTGAATCAACAGCCAATCAGCGAGCTTGTACTAAAGTTGGTATGGGATCACATCAGGGGACAGAAAAGAAGGATGAAGAATTTCAATGCACACGGCTCTTCAGTGAGTTTTTTAATATTGTTTCTTGACTATAACAACATGAATATGGATATAACATGAATTGTTTTAAAATTGGATGATGAATTGTTGAAATATGATAAAAAGCCGTTTTGTGGCTTGGTCGAGACAAGTTGTGCTAGTCATGTAGTCCCATCTATACTGTATTGTGTGGCAGGGCAATGGCATTGCATTGCAATGTAGTTGTACTATACGTGCGCATTCAAAAGTGAAACCGTTTGCACTGTCCAGCGAATTTAATAAGTTTATGTTATCGTCCCACCCAAATCTGTGTCTTATAAGTCAGCCATGTTCATATTACTTATCCTATCGGGTTGAAAGGTGTAGATTACCTGTGTGTGATTACACCCAGAGCCCTTAAAACTGTTCTTTTGGTAAATACCTAATTTAGAAGTACATCACTCAGCACGGCCATCAGCCTTTCTGTATAATTTGCTTGCTGGACACAAAAATTGGTTAAAATTAGGCTTGAGTCGGTACGGTCGATCACACCGGGACCCGACCGTTGCCGTCGGGTCCCGGTTTCGTTTTTTGAGAACCGACGCTCCGAAAAAAATAATGAAATATGTAAGAAATTGCAGTTTTGCACACCACTAAAATCATCCCACCTTGAAACTTAAGTATTTAATTGTTACCAATCATATTCTAGCTCATCCTGAATCAATCCGAACTGCTGATATAAATATGGGTTGCAAAGCAGTTCGCCCCATGGGGTTGTTGTTGCCAGCTGCTAGCTAGCTGCTGTACTGGCCGGGTCTCTCGGCAGGATTAATAAATCAGGTTGAAAGAAACATTAATGTTTGAATAATAAAACGGCTTTCTAAAAAGTACTTCTTTACAACATACCGATCGAATAATTTTTAAAAGACAAAATGGATATTATTTCTTTGATTTTGAACACCGCATGTTTCTTTTAAAAGCTGAAAATTACTTGGTAATCACAAGAAGTTTCGATACGGATAGCTGTTGCAAGGCAAGTTCAGACTAGTCTCGGAAAAATGCGCAGTGCTCCTCGTAGTTAGCTGTAATCCGTGCCAGAACGAACCCAAACAAAGACGTGATCGTAACGAGAAAAAATCATTAAAAACTACGAGAGCACAATTGGAAAGACAACTACTCAAAATTATCGTAAGCAGATACATAACTTGGAGGAATAATACAATAGTTGTCCATGAAAAGCCATAGAAATAGTGATATTTAAGGAGTTACTATAGGTACAATCATTATCGGAATGGGCCTGCTGATATGTCCGAATTACACGTTATTTGGTTTCTAGCCTCGTGTTCTAACACGAGGCTAGAAACCAAATAACGCCCTCTACGGTAAAAAGCAGTATAACAAAGGATTTGAGTATTTGCAGCAAGCCCCTTGCGATAAAAATGTACCCAGTTACTCCTCGATTTTCACAATTTATTTGGCATTTCTTGGGCGATTATTGAATTCTTTGTCCAAGTTATTTATCTGATTATCGTAATTTTGAGCAGTAGTTGTCTTTCCAATTGTGCTCTCGTAGTTTTTAATGATTTTTTTCTCGTTACGATCACGTCTTTGTTTGGGTTCGTTCTGGCACGCATTACAGCTTACAAGGAGCACTGCGCATTTTTCCGAGACTAGTCTGAACTTGCCTTGCAACAGCTATCCGTATCGAAACTTCTTGTGATTACCAAGTAATTTTCAGCTTTTAAAAGAAGCATGCGGTGTTCAAAATCAAAGAAAAAATATCTATTTTGTTTTTAAAAATTATTCGATCGGTATGTTGTAAAGGAGTACTTTTTAGAAAGCCGTTTTATTATTCAAACATTAATGTTTTTTGACCCGATTTATTCAACCTGCATGAATCAAAATGGCTGCTCGATCGTTGTCTTTCTATTTTTGCTCCAGTTTTTTTACTTTTAGAGCCACGATAATGGCACTAAACATCGCCAATCATGGATAAAAATAATGTCAAATGGAAGAATATACCGATCTGTGCCGAGGTATGCATGTGTTGATTTATTTGACTGATAAAAAAGGTCACTTTTAAGGGACATACTGATGATATGCGCTTTTTATAGAGGCAAGTGACAAATCCTGCGAGCTGATTTCGGGACACCGGGTCCCGATCGGTGCAAGGCCGTCGGGACCCGGTTTATGAAAATCCCGACATGACTCAGGCCTAGTTAAAATGCTGGCAAATTTTCTCCAACACTGCTACCCCCCCCCCCCCCCCCCCCCCGTTACACCCACAAATGTAATAACGCCCACAAAGGTAATAACACTTTACCCACAAATGTAATAACACTTTACCCACAAATGTAATAACGCCCACAAATGTAATAACACTTAACCCACAAATGTAATAACCACTTCACCCACAAATGTACCGCAAATCTCCGTGTATAAGGCGCACCTGTGTATAAGGCGCACCCCTATTTTGGGGAAGAAAAAAAAAAAAAAAAAAAAAAAAAAAAATCGTTTTTTGTTTTTTGTTGTTGTTGTTGTTGCCGAAAACCCACGCGGGGAAGGACCTTCATTTTACATCGAGGTGCAGTTGAAGGCGCTGATTTGTGCTTGTGAACTTGTCACAAATAATAGTAACAATATTGTTTTTAGAAGAATGTGTAAGATCATTAATGTAAATTAAAAACAAAAGAGTACATATGGTACCAGTGGTGCACCTTGTGGTACACCATTTGTTATAGAAACAAATATTTGAGGAATTATTATTATAAACTACATATTGAGATCTATTAAAAAGATTACTTTCAAACCAAGATGACAGACAAATTTGAGTGTTGTAGTTTCCGAGTGGTGAGTCAACACACTGATTACTGAGCTGGGTGACATTGTCAGGCATAGCGCCATATATCGAAACTAAAAAAAAAAAAAAAAAAAAAAAAAAAAAACTTTTTTTTTCTGTACCTGTGTATAAGGCGCACCCCCGACTTTCAAATTTTTTCGGCGGCAAAAAAGTGCGCCTTATACACGGAGATTTACGGTAATAATTTTGAATCACCCACAAATATAATGACTTTACCCACAAATGTAATAAATTTGAAGTGATATTTTGTCGAATTTGTTCAAAACTAAAAGCCTGTAATAAAGCATGGGTATAGTGTGCAGTCTTTACTCCAGACCCGGTTATTTCAAAAATTTAAAAAATCTTCAAAACTAAGACCCCATAATCCTTTTCCTGTGGAATAACATGAGAATCGAGCGTAGTCTTTCCTCCAGACCCGGTTATTCAAAAGTAAAACAAAAACAAAAAAACTTTTAAACTAAGACCCCACCATCTTCCAAACTAAGACCCGGTAATAAAGCATGGGTTTAGAGCGTAGTTTTTCTTCCAGACACGGTTATTTCAAAACTTTTTAAAAATCTTCAAAACTAGGTGTTACTTCTGGAGTAAAGACTGCGTGCTATACCCATGCTTTATTACAGGGTTTTAGTTATGAACAAATTCGACAAAATATAACTTCAAATTTATTACATTTGTGGGTAAAGTCATTATTACATTTGTGGGTAAAGTCATTATTACATTTGTGGGTGATTCAAAATTATTACATTTGTGGGTAAAGTGGTTATTACATTTGTGGGTGAAATTATTACATTTGTGGGTAAAGTGTTATTACATTTGTGGGCGTTATTACATTTGTGGGTGCAACACCCCCCCCCCCCCTTCCATAAAAAAATAGATTTAGTGATGCCCCTGGAGATATATTACTTACCATGGACACTCCCTGTAATGATCCCATCATCTGATGCTTCTGATATCCTACTGCGGCAAAATTTCAAGCTAGGAGGGGAAGAGGGAAAAACATAAAAACAGGGTTGCAATTAAAGAGCCTAGGGAATTTGACAATGAAAAAAAGAAAACAAAAACAAAAACTGAGAACATATGTATTTCTAAAATATTTGTTCTCCATTACTGCAGTGTATACATTTTAAAACATGTATAACTGCTCTCAGCTATATAGAGTATAGCTACATGACCATGGTTAAGAAGATCTCATGTCACTCCCATGTCACTGAAGGCATACATACTTGTCAAACATATCAAGAAAAGAAAACAATTTTAGCACCAGGTCTACATGTATTTTCTGCCATCCACCCCATCCCCCTGCAAAAAAAAAATTAAAAAAAAAAAAAAAACGGTAAAAAAAAAAAAAAATCTGACACAACTTTGTATGAAGTCATTGAGAGATATATGTAGCAGCTCAAGAAAGTCTCTTACTAAGCAATAGTGTCTTGAAAGATTTTCAATGTTCCAAAAATCTCATAACACTACAAGACATGACTTTGATCCCTTTGACATAGCTGTGTACAATTTTTCAAAAGCAAGTTTAAAAAAGAACTATTGCTGAACCAAATCCTGGAGGTGATATTCAGATCAAATTGCAATACAAAAAAAAGAGTGGGGAAAAGGGAGAAAAAAAATGTGGGGAAAAAGGAGGAAAAAAAGAGTGGGGAAAAAGGGGGAAAAAAGGGGGAAAAAGGGGGAAAAGGGGGGAAAAAAGGAGGAAAAAGGAGTGGGGGAAAAAGGAGGAAAAAAAGAGTGGGGAAAAAGGAGGAATAAAAAGAGTGGGGAAAAGATGAAAAAAAGACGGCTCGGATCTTGATTTATTTAGAGGGGCAAGGGTGGGTAGGGAGGGATTTTGATCCCTATAGCAGCCATGCTTAAACTTGGGCCCTGGTTTTTAATTTAAATTGGGATAAAAATAGACAAAGCTGAACAAAAGGAAATCAGACTGACACAATGAACATTCACATACAGTATATTGTTTTATTTTCATATATTCTGCATAGATTTTCACCATATTTTCATATAAATACACTGTAGAAGAATTTTTGAATACACAACATACAATCAAAAGTTCAAGAGTTTAATCTAAAAAAATGAAAAGAAAATGCTTTATGTTTATCAGAATATCAGGTGACTTACACCTGCCCAAATTAAAAAGTAAAGCTGCAACACAAGCAGATACTAAGCTCAGGTTGCCCAAACTTTTTAACAATGCCCTGCTTTAATAGCACATGTAATTTTTGTATCCACTTGAAAATAGTTTTCAAGGAATTTCCGTATTAGATGCTTGACAGAAATGATGCTTTCTAAAAGGATGAAATCACTGCATTGTTACAACAAAGGGTAAATGAACGGTAAAAGAAGGAGAGAGCTGTGTACAACCAGGGAGGTGAAAGAAAGGAGTCAAAACTTGTGTAATTTATTCAAACGCATTCATGAGCTCTAAAGCGTATGGGATGTGTAACATTCCACTTGGCTTTGAAGTTCCATGCTCCGAGCCGCGCTTCCACTACGGGGATTTGGGGAGGCCAGGCACCAGTTTCACATTTATTACAAAATATTAAATTACCAGCAAAATTTCAGTGTAAATTATAAACTTTATATAGGGATTGTATTTGGAATAGTGCATCCAATAAAAAATCAAATTTAGGACTCCTTTGTAAATGAAAAATTACATCCTGACAAAAACTCAATATCTTAGGATAATGCGCTAATTTGTGCACGTTTTAATGTCCCGCTATGTAATCCATGATTTACGATCTTCGATAACTTTAAGTTTGCTAATGCATGTTTTTTGTATTTTTGCAGTTGGAAAAGGTACACAAACCTCAATTAATAGCAGAATTCAGCTATACAGTGTATTATCAAGTGTGCAATAAAATGCCAGTTTACAATCAATACATCACATAGTAGTATGATTTACACAGAAACTAATATTATACTGGACTACACTAATACTCTTTTCACACTCGTTTTGCTTAACCCCATACTTTGCTCAGCCTCGTACTATCCTTAACCCTGGACTAACTTTTTTGGATTTTCACACATGCTCTTTTAGTCCTGTACTAAGCACCTACCCCGGAATTCGCTCCATTGCGTAGTACCACACTATTTTTTGTTTCTATTTACATTCATTTGCTTGGCACTGCAATTGAGGAGTTAGCACCAAAATTGCAGGGTTAGCTCTGCTTTTTTGCAGGGCCAGCTAACCCCGTACTACATGTATATGTGGGGCTAGCCCACTTTGGTAAATACGTTTCTGAACAGAGAGTGGAATAAGCTTAACCCCGGACTATAGGTGGGGCTAAGACTTCCTTTTAACCCCACCTATATTCCGGGGTTAAGCAAATTTTTGCCAGTGTGAAAACAGTATTTCAGAGCTCAGGTCTCCCAAATTAACTTTGGATGCAAAGTGTTAAAATGTAAACTGACACCTTACACACAGCATCAATACTACATTCTGGACCAGGAAGAAATTGAAAAAGCTAGGGTGGGGTACTACAAAGATGGATGTTCATGTAGATTTTCTGCCTTCTCTGTTGTATTTCATGGATTCCATTCATTAATCAGGCTTTCAGCCATGATTTTGAAATTGGTTGTCCTAATTGAAAAAAGAAAAAATGCTTAGGATTTATTCAAAAAATCATTATAAAAATTATATCTTTAAAAAGGGGGGAAATCCACACACAAAAAAAAGTGTCGTCTTTTGGACAAACAGACATCCTCTTGGCTAAAATCCTATAAAGAAATTCAGGAAGAACTCTTGTACACAGATATACCTGTACATCCCAGCTATTGTTAATACAAGACCTGCTCACAGTACATGCAATGTATAAATTGAATAAATCTGTTATTTAAAGTACAATGAATTGCACCAAAAATGCATTCTTTCTCAAGCAGAGAGTAAATATAATATATCGTTTCAAAACCTACATTTCACAGAATGCCTAAAGAAACATTCAGGTGCCAAAGGAATCACTGATATTGTCTTGGTGGTCTCCCTTTATACACAAAAGACATAAAGTATGATGTTTTCAATTTATAATTTGTCAGAAGTTTTTTTCTTCTCCTTTTTTTGTTGTTGCAGAGATTCAAAAGAAAACCTCAGAATATGCAGTTCTGATATATAATTTCCAAACAGGAATAGCAAATTGATGGATTGTAGTCAAGAAACATTGTTTTAAAGCTAAAGTAATATCAGTCTTGAGAGGGAGCTATACAACGTATAGGCCCGAATTCACAAAGCAAGGTTTGAGCTCAGACCAAGGTTTGACCTCAAACCTCCTTTTGTTTCGCCAAACCTCCTTTCCTTTTAACAAAAGGAGGTTTGGCGAAACAAAAGGAGGTTTGAGCTCAAACCTTGGTCTGAGCTCAAACCTTGCTTTGTGAATTCGGGCCAAAGAGTTTATCATTTACAATTTCATCACTTTACCCTCAAGTTCAACCGCGACAATGATCATTGCATATTGTAACATTGCATATGCTTCCAATATGTTCATATGAGCCAAATTCATGACCCCATACCAAAACTTGGTATTACCTTTAAAGGTACTATGTCCCTTTTGCAGCCAACCTCAAATTCTGTAGAACTTTGCAGGAATTATGAATATGTCATGTATGTCCCATCTGTGAAATTTAAACGTTAGCAGTGTCCTCATATTCAAATTATGCAAGGAAACATGTTTACTTGCTAGACTTCACTGTCAGACACTATTGAGTGACTGACTGGCTTTTTTTCTTCTTTGGTAATAACATACATGAAAAGAGTTGTAAAGGGTACATGAGCATTTGTCTACATCAATAACCCACTTCTTGTGATGGCCAAGATTAAACTGATTGAATCTTTGTGCAGCTTAAAACTATGACCATTCGGTACAATTGTCTGAAAATCAAGACTACCGGTACTACTTTTGGGCTCTATAGCCCTAAAGTCGATTTGACAATGAATAGTCGTTATTTTCCCACTTGAAGACATTTTCAAGCCCCACCTTTTTTAGGGAAGTTCTAAATTAGTATTATCTTTCAAATGCAGTTGGAATTTAACTTTTTCCTTTTTTTGGCCTGCAAATGGGACATAGTACCTTTAAGCAAATAATACATACATGTATGTGAACACACTCAAAACAATCAATAAATTACAGTCAAACCTGCTTTAGTGACCACCTGTCTACAAAGGCCACATTTTGTGTTTCCCTTGGGCGGTCGCTGTAGACGGGTTTGACTGTACCATAAAACGTTTTGAACTACTGTAATTAACGGTGTATTAACCGCACCTTTTTGCCGCCGAAAAAAATTCAAAGTCAGGGGGGCGTCTTATACACGGTACACCAAAAAAACAAAAAAAGTTTCGATTTATGCCCCTTCACCTGGCACTATGCCTGGCAATGTCTCCCAGCTCAGTAATCGGTGTGTTGACTCACCACTCGGAAACTAGAACAACACTCAAATTTGTCTGTCATCTTGGTTTGAAAGTAATCTTTCTGATAGATCTCAATATGTAGTTTATAATAATAATTCCTCCAATTTTTCTTCTATTACACGGCGTACCACAAGGTTCTATCCTAGGTCCTCTACTGTTTTTTAATTTACATTAATGATCTTACACATTCAGCTGCACCTTGCAGTTAAATGAAAGGCCTTCCCGCGTGGGTTTTTTTAACACGGACCTGGCTTGCTGACAGAGTGGGCAAAAAATAAAATAAAAAATAAACCTTTTTTTTTTTAGGGCGAAATAGAGGTGGTGGTTAATACACGAGAGCGGTATACTCTGTTAATTACGGTACATCTTTACATTGTACATGTACACTGTATGTACATTTCTGAAGCTAAATATCTCTGCTTAAAAATCTCTTAGTAAAACATGATCATGACCAACTTGCACTGTAGGTTGACTACAATCAATAAGCACACTCACTTTTCTCTTATTTGGAGTATCAAAAATAGTTAAATACGCTGTGTACACATTTCTTGTGAAAATTACAACTCTACAAATC